CCACACCTCTGACATGTCCTTCTCAGACAAATACTGACCCTCGACAATGAGATCGTTTGCCAACTCATCTTCTCGGATCAGTTCAAGTTCTTCAATGAAGCTGGCCTATGAGGGTTCCAATCCGAAGAATTTCAGATTATAAGAACAGATAAGAACAGCATCCAAAAATACAGATCTAAGTTTGAACACAGAAAATGGTTCCCAGGTTTGATTTTGACACTGTGTTGCTGTGGTAATCCCGCCTTGTCATACCCGCAAGTTTCAAAAATCTTTTGGAGGCTCTTCCGGCTTTTCCCGGGCTTTTTGTATTGGGCTAAGATGGCATCCGAGACCTTGTATTCCCCAGTTCGCTTACTTGGCTCAAAGACACGACGAAGTCTGGCATCTGCTGCTGCCTCTGATATCCGCATAACTTGGGCTTTGGGTTTAGAAGCAGTCACATCATCCAAGGAAGGAATTGTGGATTCTGGGCTAGATACTTCAAGAACCGTAGGGCTTGGCACTGGTGATCCAACCTCCTCTGCTGTCATCCCTGGTTCAGGTGCCCTGCAAGGAGTGGGCACGGTGCGATCAGGCTGGCATGGGGTCTTCTCAGCTGGCGTGGGTTCAGCAGTGACAGTGTTGGATGTGGGGCAGTGGGCCTCAACAACATCGCTACTTTCTTTGCTGGCTGGGCTACCTACCATGTCTTCATCTTCAGGTTGAGTATCAGATGGTAGAGTAAGTCCAACGGGCTTAGCCATTTCTGGAGTAAGCTGTTGAGAATCTACCATCATACCACGGTCCCCCCCAATGTCAGCAGGGATGGTCTCGGCATCGGCATCCGCAATTGAATCATCATGTTGTTCCTGAGATTGGCAAGTCAGGCAGGCTACTTTAAATTGGGGAATGAACGTATGATACAAATTTGGTCTCTACCTCACCATAAACATAGTGTTTCCTCTCCAGCGATTTCAACATCGGACACTTTCAAATCAAGTTACAGTTCCGCTGTGATAGACGGTAGCTTCACCATCTGACTCTAGATCAATCGCAACCCTCTCCGACTTGATGGCCGACCAGCCATGCGGTTCACCACCTATCTTTTCCTCGAGATCCGTCACTTCCTGCTTTAACTCCTGGGCAGAGTCAAGGAATAGCGTGGGAATTGGTTAGCCCTTAAGATGAAGTCAGTACAGTAATCGTCTCATGGTTTAATACAGTACACCAACAATGGTATTATAATTACGTACTTGTATTTTTAGTAAACCGAATGTAATTTGAAAACCCTATATCTTGGATCTTGATGGACCATGTTGTGACATCCCCAATCCTGAAGTTCCTTCCACAAGGATTCATCAGAAGCTTTGTTCAAAGCCAACAAATCCCGGGGCTGTTGCTCCACAGACCGGACCCCACGTTGGAGTGTCTCTGTTGACCACAGGTTTGACCGAAGCTCACGGCTGGCCATCATCACCACACAGGCGAGCTACAACAGTGCAGGGAATCTGGGGCCAAGCACCAATGGTTCCATACAGTGGCCCCTACAAGAAATAAAGGTTTTTGCTATGGTTCAACTCCCATCATGCTTATCAACATGAAACAATATTGACTCAACAGATAACAGGGCCCCAACATGCACAGTCGCGTCAAAAACTCAGGTGAGAAGCGATAGTCCTGAAGATAGGCAAACCTTTTCTCATTTGATGTGATTGGTCACTCTTGGTGTAAGTATTTTGCAATTAGAGCCGGCAATACGAATTTATGGGTTTCGCCATCCAGCTCAGGCTACATAGACCCTCTCAAAAACCACTCAAAAAAATTTACGCCGTTTCGCCGCTTTTTTACGCCGTTTTGGCGCTGTTTTACGCCGTTTTGATTTTCATGAATTTTCATTTTTTTTGTCAAAATGTATTCAAGACCATCCAAGTACTTGACATTGGCAATTGGTTGACACCTGAGCTGGGAAGCTTACCAAACTGCATCCAGTGCTAAGCTAAAAACGGAGAAGGGAATCGATCCCTTTCCAAACTGGAGGAACTTGAAGCCCCTTCATTCCACGGGCGTAAGATAGAACATCAAATAGTTCAGCCTCAGGCCACCGGCCCATCCCTTCCACATCCAGGTCCATGAAATCAGCTGGTGTAAGCTGCGATGTGTCAGCCTCAGAGCACACGTGGCTTTGAGATGGGAAAAAGATTGGGGTATTCAATTGGTATAAGTTCATTCAAGAAACAACCATGTCACCACAGTAGATTTCCTGTTGCAGAGACGGTATCAAATCCACAATGGAGCGAGCAAACTTGGACGTGTATTTCCTTAGTTCCGTCAAGAGATGATAGCTGCCAGAGGTTTGTTGAAGGAGGTAAGTATAGATCATGTATAGCTCAAATCCTATAATCAAAGAATCAACACCACAACAAACCAACAATCTCAGCTTAGAGTCTGGGATTTTTTCAAGCGTTTGGTTCCAGAAAATGCTGCCTTTCCATCTTTGCTTTTGTACCGTTTGCAAAGGGCTTTACCAGTTCTTCGCTTTTTGAAACGGCGACCATGAAGCTTGCAAACCGACCTGCTGTTAGTCAGTAGCATCGTCGGCTTCTGGGATCGAGTTCCAAACGTGTTCATGTCAAAAGCCACTTTGTAGACCTGATTGGAATTAGCCGGGAAATCTAACCACCCTAGGGTTGCCACCCCAACAAATGAAACCAGTTGCTTGAAAATTCAAACCATTGATTCCAGATTTCTTTTCATTATAATGAGTACTGATTCTGACAAAGAACAGTGATGCCAACTTTGCGGAGGGCTTTGAACACCCAAACCAGCCGTGGATGCTCCACCACAATGGAAGAAGCCGGGTTCTCCACGATGAAGCTGCTGCCGAGGCAACAAATCAAGATCAGCAAGAGTCCCAGCCTAGCAAGGCCGACAGATGATATGGTGAAGGCATTGTTTTGGGGATATATATATACACACATACATACATACATACATACATACATACATACATACATATATATATATATTTATATTTATATATATATATTATATTATGTATTATGTATATATATATATATATATTATATTGTATATAATATATATATAAAAATATATCTGTTATGTATATTAATTATTCATTGCTATATATATTATAATATATACATATATATAATTACATATGTTTTCTTAATAGTATATATATATATATTATATATACATAGATATTATATATATATACATATTATCTTGGGACCTGTGTAGTATGAACAAAAAAGGGTTTTAACATTTGCTAAGCTAGGTTTGTTTGTTGACTTGTTGGTTCAAATCCCGACCTTGAAATCATTTTGTTGCCTCTTCTCACATGAGTGGCCCCAACTTGTCCAAGAGGGGTCAGGATGCTTCTCTGGCTGGTTGCCAGGTTTACAGAGCTGTAGGAACTGCAAACCGGTGCTAGGAAAGCAACGAATTGTTCATACCGTCCATGAAGAACCAAAATGATGGCCATCCTAAGTCGTAGCACCCAAGTAGATGAGATGATTTGTTTTTACCCCAAGTAACAAATACCATTGAAACAAAACCAAAACCAGAAACACTTGCTATACACAATCAAAGGTCAAAAAGCCAGCTTCTCCATTGAAATCAAAGCAAGACCGGTGGGGCATGTTGGAATGCTTTGAGTACCCAAAAGGAATATTGGTGTCATAGTTCATTTCGAAACCTCGGCTCCTATACCCTTTCCAAGATGCCAGCTTGCAAATCCTGGATACACCAGCGAAGTATTCCACTAGATCAATCGGTCCGCCAAGATCCCAGTCCAGGGCCAAAGATACCCAACTCGCCAACATGGTCAGGTAGATGAAGTCCTTAGGGATCAACTAGTTGCTGGCTGATTCAACCCCTTCAGAAATAGGTCCGGTAAAGTATGAGATTATGGGGCTTTATTTTCAAAATTTCGTTTTATGGTTCAATGTCCATAAAAGAATTCATCCAGTCATTGTGGCATTGCCAATTGAAGGATTGTGGCAAACAGATGGGTGTTGACAAGAGTCCAATGGCACTTTCATGGCCATCATGCGCCTCAATGCCAGGTTCAACTGGCTGTCAGAGATCCTCATGGCTACCGAGACTTGGCTGAGGCCTGGCCTTCGCTCAGCACGAAATGGGCTGCAGGGATGGCAAGTTGAGTCAAAAATTGGTTGACTCAACGATTTTATTGAATAGGTTAGGAATGCTTGGGATTAAGAATTATAAGAAACCCTCTTGTTTGTACCAAAACCACGTGAGGTCCGGCCACCCTATGGCACCTTCAACGCCAAACCCGAATTTAGCAAACGAAGATTGGCCACGGAGAAGTGGCATGGAGAGTCCTGCAAGCCAGAAGATGGGAAACTATGGCTGATCATATCTTGGGAAATTTCTACATAAACTAAAAGGGGGCAATTCTATAGAAATTCATAAGATACCAAAAGCTGTCCTCGTAGGCTGCTGCAGCGGTTTCAATCTTCAAGCACCTGGCATGGGATGAAACGGCGGTGTCAGGAGTTGATACATGTTGTTATCTGCTAAGTAGCTCGTTTGGAATCCTTTTCTATTTCAAGAAATGTTCGATTGGAGTTTGTTTTGCTGAATCCCTTAGAAATCTTAGTAAAGGATAGCGAGGGGGCTCCTCAATCAGTTTTCCCGCCGCCAGGCCATCAGCAATGCTGGTCAATGTTCACGAACTTCACTGACCAGGCTTGATGCGATTTGCATGCGAATCTAATCCGTTGCACACCCCAGCCAAGAGACCATTTGAAAAACAAGTGGATAGTGTTTGGATAAACCTTCGCATACCATCAGTGTGCAAACAGAAGTCCACGTATTAGGATTAAAGTCTTGGGTCTTCAAAATCAAGCTGTACAACCTGCCTATCCTAACAGCGTTTGCAGCATACTACCCCCGGTGCCATCCGACATGGTAAACTGCATTGAGTATGCTTTCCACACTCCAAGGTGTCAGGTTGTTCGCAACCAAGACTAAATCTACTCGATGTGCTTCACTGCTTCACATAGGGTCCTTGCTTGGGATGTGAGATGAATGATCACCAGCATTTTTTCTGTTATTTGTTATTTGATGGCCCCCCAACTTTTGAATCCAGAAAGCATCAGAAACCCATTGCCTGAAGTTGAGCCAAAGGGTCGAATCGCCTCGTCTTCAAAGAAAGAAGCCAGCAAACCCTCGGCAATCTCCACACTGGCATCGTAAGACTCAGCGTTGCCAGTCTTGAAAGCGCGCATGCACAACTTGTAGAAATGGTCCTGTGAAAGCTGTGGGTGCAATCAGCGAAAGGAACCCTGCGTGCAAAACCCCCAAGATCCATGGGAACATTTTGAACATGTTCGGTTTTGTTTTGTGATTTTGAACTTGACCCACCTGGAAAGAGCTCTGCTTAGCCACGTTGGGCGCAATCTCGGCTTCAAAGACAGAACGGCAAGCCGTGTAGCGGGCAGCAGCAACAGGATCAGTTGGGAGGTAGCGACGGGCAAAGGTTTTGGTCTCCTTGCTCTTCGGCTCCTCGTCCATCTTCTTCTCCTCAGTCTTGTCCTTGTTGACTTTGTCATCTATCTTTTTCACCTTGGCATCCTTCACCTTTGCCCCCTTGGTGGTCTTTGCCTTTGCCTTTGCCTTGGCTTTCGCTTTGGACCCAGGCTTGGACTTGGCTGTGGCCGCTTTGGCCTTGGACTTCGCTTTTCCCTTGGCTCCAGGCTTGGGCTTGGTCGTGTTGGCTTTCTCAACAGGCTCTTCGCCATCATCACCATCACCGTTTCCTTCATCATCTTCTCCATCATCATGTGCTGCGCCCCTGAAATCGGCATTGAGCTGTTCTCGGCGGAGTAGGACACCTGGTTCCTCTCCCATGAGGTGACAAACATCCCCATCAAAGGGCTTTCTGAGCGCATCCCTGGCCGTATCAGGTTTCAAGGACTTGTTGGACTTCTTGTCCCCCTCATCCCGGTCCAATGCCCTCTTGTTTGCAATGGCCTTGTCCTTGATCTCATCCCCCGCTGCAGCGTCACTCTTGCCCGATGCAGGCAAGCCAGCATTGCCAAGCGGAGGAGGAGCCACAGGTGCGATGTCTTCTAAGAGCTCCTGGCATTGGCATGGGGGCAGGCAGCCAAAGTGAAAATCTATTGGGGCACTTATTTGTGCTCAAGATCAACCCCAAAAACATTGAACATGTTGTCAATCCACCATTTCTTTATGGGAAAGGCATGGTTGTCTCCTGGGATTCAATGGTGAGCACGTCCCCATCAAAAGCTGCGCTGGCCGCGGCACTAGCATTCAACTCTTCGGCAGTCATTGGGACGGTCTGCACGGTATCGATGTTCACACCTGAATGCTATCAACTTTTGATTGCTACTATCTTGTTTGGGTTTGGGCCCATCCCAAGAAGTTACTGTTACCAAAGAAAGTTGGAAGCCAAAGCCACTGGATTTCCCACGCAATAGGCCTTCACGACCAGCCATGATGGACCTTCAGGGATCAAGTAATAAGGCAAAATAAAGCTGATGAATTTGGATGAGCAACCGGCTATGGTTTTGATTTTCTGTATTGATTCTGTATCTGACCTTTTGGGACCTACGTGAAAAGTATTCAAAGGAAAGTCATGGGTATACATGTTGTGACTTACTGATGTTAACACTGATAGTTTCAAAACCCCCGACTGGATGAGAAGGATTTTCGCCCTCTTCTTCTCGATCTCCCCCTTGGTGCCGTCGGCATCCGTGAGGTTGACAGAGCTGTGGGGCGAACCGGCTGAAGGAACCACATAAGTCATGGGCTCAGCTTTTGCCGCGGCAACAGCAGCTGGGCTCTCTGGCTCTGGCTGGGTGGCTGGCACTTCAGCGTCAAGCTGGTTCAAAGCAAAGAGATCGGTTTCTGGGTAGGCATCCGTTTCCTCCATCACCTGACTCTCCTGAATCTCCTCAACGACCTGGCTCTCCTGAATCTCCTCAACAGCCTGGCTCGTGAGGGTGGTAGGTTCCAAGGTCTCAGGTAGAGGCATGCGTTCCTCAGGTTCTGGAGCGGCACTAGCTGCCTCAGTAGCGGTGGGTGTCCCTGGCAAAACAATGCCACCATCTTCAGGTTCATCGTCATCATCATCGTCCATCCCATCATGACCCCCAGCAGCGAAAGCAGCCGCAGCCCCATCACCACCGCCCCACGCATGGTCCAAGGCTTCCCAAAATTCGTTGAGAGAGGGATCCTGGCGCTGACTAGTTGACAGGGTTCTGACAACAACTCACCAACAAGGAATCTATTTGTTGAGAAGCTTTTAAAGTAAATACCAGAAGTAGCCCTGTTTGAATACTCAGCTTTGAATTTTGACATGTGTCCTTGGGCTTTCGCGCTCCACTCAACCAGCGGCGCAACCCGTGGGAGAACAAGCGTTTCAACCCCCAACTGTCCATAGTCACTGAAGCGATTGAACTATCCAAAGCGCTCAAGACCCGCCATGCAGTAACCTGCAGTGAAGTGATGGATCGAGGTGGCAGGATGAATTGAAATTAACATGTTGTTGGAAACAACTTTGAAGACCAGGGTGTGGCAAACAACAAACAATTCTGAAAGATACCTTTGACCTTTGGCCCCTGATTTTCAAACCAGGCCTCACTTCTCAGAAGTTTGATTGGGATAGCCGCTGGGGAGGTCTGTTGGGAAGTCCACCACCTCGCAAGAATGGTTAAGGGAACAGCGTTGAGGACACATGCGCGAATGGATGGGATGCCCACCAACCTTTGGTCTGGCCATACGCAAAGCTGTTGTTCATGTCTAGCCCTCGCCCGGATGCCAACATCTCCTTCCCAAAGGTGTGGAAGGGATAAGACTCCAGCCATGGGAGCTGAACGAAACAAACCAGAAGCCTGAAAGACCCTCCTTAAGCACCAAAAGCTGTCAGGGTATTGAGTATGGCTCAGCATTGAATTCCTGCCGCTTCCCCTCCCCACTTTGCTCCATTTTATTATGACGTTTTATTATGTTTTGATCCAACAGGATTTGCTTTCACCATCTTTTACCATGGACATCAATGGGCCATGGTTTGTAGTTTTGAATCCATGCCACCCTTGCCCAAACATGCGAGAAGCACCTGGGATCTTCTGGCTGCCGAGGTTGAAAGCATCCACGATGACAGCATCATCGGGGCAAAAAAGAGTTGAACGATTGCAAGGGGTAAATCTTGGTTTGATAAATTAAGACTGGATCCATGATAAGGGCTAATAATCAATGTATTGGTTTCTGATGTCTCAAACTGAACTTTAGTGACAATTAGCTTCTATTTTGTTGCAACGATCTTATGGGGTGTTCTTCCAATACCATTCCAGAGCCAAAATCCTCCAAAATCTTGAAAACATCAAAAAGTGCTCGCCAACAATAATTATCGCCGGCTGGCTGAAAAGGCAATTCTTTGTGAAACAGCAGAAATTTTGCATACTTTGGAGTTCGCAGGTATATATATATATATTATGATACCATTATTGATAATACCATGGTCATGTGACAATGTATATTATTATATTACCATTTTCTGATATGTCTCTATTGAGACATTTGATACTGTGGATGGTTGCGAAATCCTGCACCAGTTGAAAACAGTGGTTTATCCCATTATTTATAGGGTTTCAACCATCCAGTGCAGGATTTCTTCCATCCACCGTATGTCTTTATTGAGATAGGCAATACCCTCTGGTAAACCTACAAGAAACTATGGAAAATCACCATTTTGAATCGAATGGGTAAATCCACTATTTCTATGGCCATTTTCAATAGCTTTTTGTATGTTTAACAGAGGGTACATCCCATCAATATCCCATTGAATCACTGTAAAATCCCATTAAATCACTATAAATCCCATTGAATCACTATAAATCCCATTATATACCAGAGGGTATCATGTTTTTAGTTTACCAGAGGGTACATCATCCCATTGTCATAGTATCATCCCGTCCCAGGAGAGGGCTCCTTCGGCCTCGTCTGGCGCTGCCAGAGCCGGAAGTGCGAGGGCGACGCGGCAGGCGGCAGCGGTGAGCGCGCCGCTAAGCGCATCGCCAAAGCGAGGCTGGCGCCCCGCGATGTGCGACGCTGGGGCCTGCTAAGCGGCTTGGGGATGGGGGTGAAACATGGTGAAACTGAGCATCTCAGGCCGCGAGGCGGTCAAAAAATGGCAAGAAAATGGTGTTTTTTTTTTCTGGGATTTAATGGTCGTTTTTAAGGTGGAGAAGTTGACTAACTTGGTGAATTCGATAGTGAAGGGGGTCCCACCAACAAACATAACTGGGGGGTCCCTCACCTTGTGGGAAAGTCAAGGAGTTTTTTTTTTGGGGGGGGATTTGGATTGGATATTCTTGTTCACCAGCACCCAAAGGGGTACCCAGGAAAATGTGTTTTTTTTTCCTCAGAATTTTCAGGATTTTCCGAGATCTTGAGATTTTGGGGATTCTGTGCCTTGAATCTCTTCAATAAATCATTCTTTTACGCATGCGAATTGGCATAAGTATATATAAAACATCTCCTCCGCCATTGACTCTGCGCAATACATCTCCTTTCCTGAACCATTTGTATCTTGCATCAGTTTCAATCCAGCACCAGAACCTTCAGGTCAGAAACAAATCAGTTTGCCACCATAAAACATGATTTTCCAGAAGGGTGTTTTTAAATGTTTTTAAATAGGGGGTGGCCACCCATGTTGATTAATAGGGGGACCAACCCAAAGTAGTATTGCCAAACATTTTTTGGACTCTGGGTGTTGATTACTAGCGTGTGTTTAATAATATGAATTTAACATTATGATGAATAGAAGGGGATTATCATCACCCACTAGCTGTGAAACCATTTTTTTTTAACCAAACCGTTTGCCCTTAGGAAATCTGTTTGGCGATGGACATTTGGAAGGTGAGATCAAGATGCATTTGGGCCTATCTCATCCTCATATCGTAGGCCTCTACGAAGTGGCTCGGATCGGTTTTTCTGATTTTTCTGCAGGATGGGTTGCAACAATGGGGGATTTCACATGATTTACCATAACGGGGGTATCCTCCGGTGTCCTCAAACGTGGCTAGCTGGAGAAGCCTCCCCTAAATGGAAGGTTGACTGGGAAAATCATCCTGAATTGAATGGCGCATTTTCCATTGCCATGTTTGATTGCTGGAGGGTATAATAAAGGGAGGGTATATCAACTAAAGAACCTGGTTGGTGTTTTTTGTTGGTGACCGAAGTTCCAAGGATCGAAAAAAGGAATCGATTTTCAGGGGCAAAAATCTCACTACCAAGCAGGTTCAAGTCCAACTGGGGATGATGGCCCCCAGCAGGGCTGGGCTGAAGGCCTCAGTACACCTGCCAACAGTTTCATATCCCTGGCTGTGAAAAGGGGATTGGTCTTGTTGGGAAAACCCTCAGTTCCATGGAAAAACCAGGGTTTTTGCCATGAAAATCATTTCAGAGTTCCGGTGAAAAGAAATGGGTATGGTATGGATCAATACCTATAGATACCATTTTTAGAGGAATGAACATCCATAAATCCCAGCTATTTTAATGTTCACCAGGGGTATTATTGGTTTTGACACACTGCCAAATACCATCATCCAATTCACGGCGATGGAGAGGGTCGGAGAGAGAATTCCGTGAATTGTTTAGACATGTTATTCGACTGATATAGCTCGTATCACACCAGCTGAGTTCTTCGAAATGATGTTCATGCTCCCGAAAAAAATCATATTTTGCAGTTAGATCAGTTAGACTGCACAACCACCAAAAATTCAACATGTGGCAACATATCATATGTTTTTCAAGATCATGATCTTTGCCTTGACTTTCATACAATTTTCTGGTGTGTGTCATGGCCAAACTTCCCCATCATACCAGTGCTGAGGTTGTTCCATCAGCTCCCATGTGCGGGTGCTTCCCTATCATACGCTGAGGTTTTTCAAAATACTGAGTTTTACTATATGTTTTACTATTCCATGATGGATTACCCACAAACAAACCATTTCTGATATTTTGACATGATCAACTGAGTTTTTTTAATTTTAAAGACTTTCACAAAGAAGTCATAGAGAATTCAATTATATCGTGCACTGTGGCGAACTTATCTTCCAAATATTTCCCATGATCAGCTGAGGTTTTTCCAGTTTTTCTAAACCAGCAATACTCCAATCTATTCCATAGAATTTCTCTGAATTTCCAATGTGCTGAGGTTTTTCAAGATGATGATGTGGTGTCACTGGTCATGGAGTGCTGCAATGGTGGCGATTTGTTTGACCTCATCGCGTCGCACGCGCCGCAAGGTGGTCTTGCGGAGCCTTGCGCGGCGAGGGTTCAGGCCGGGACAGTCACATTTTTGTTCCAAAAAAAGCCGTGGAAACCTGAACAGTACTTTCTTGGTACTTTTAGACTCTAAGACTATGTTCTTTCCATTTCTTTCTTGTTTTTTTCAGACTATGTTAAGCACAGACCAGACATTTGTATATATATATATATATGTAGATGGATTTGTTCATTTATTTATTGATTTGTTTGTTCGTTTTTGGGGCATAGCAATTATGTCTTTTCTTGACTTATCGAGGAGATAAGGGGCCACAGAAAGCCAAAAGCCAGAAGCCAAGTGAAGCCAAAGCCCAAAGCCAACAGCCAAAGTGAAGCCAAAGCCAAAAGCCATGGCCCAAAAAAACTAAACGCCAAAAAGCCAAAAGCCAATAACCAAAAGCCAAGAGCCAAAGTGAAGCCAAAAGCTAAAAGCCAAAAGAAAGCCCGAGCAAAGCCAAAAGCCAAAAGCCAAAAAGCCAAAAGCCAAAAGCCAAAAAGCCAAGTGGGCACTTGAAGCCAAAAGCCAAGTGGGCGCGCAAATGAGAGATCCTAGCTCCAAAATGCATGCAAAACACAGATTTTAGCTCCAAAGAGCAGCAAATAGCAGGGAAAGCTGCTCCAGACTGAAAAACAAAAAAAAATCCTAAAAAAAAACAAAAAAAAACATAAAAAAATATACCCTCCATTATCTAACCTGGGCAAATTATAATAATTCATTTGGGGATAGTCACCCCTTCTTAACCATGATTCCAGTGAGGTCGCAGTGAGGTTGTTTGAATTTACCCAGAGAGAGAGAGAGAGATAGACATATATATATATATTTATATGTATATATATATATAAATAGCAAGCACCACAAAGTGATACTTTTTCCCATGATGATGTGGATGATACTTTCCCCATATGTTCCAAATGTCCAGTTGTTCTGGCTTTTTGGCTTCACTTGGCTTTTGGCTTTGGCTTCACCTGGCTTTTGGTGTTTGGTTTTAGCTTCACTTGGCTCTTGGCTATATTGTTTTGAACTACTCCATGTTACGGGAAAGAAGGGAAATAAGACTCTTATTTCCCTTAAATGGAAGAACACCATGGAATATCGAAGAAACCATAGAACAATTGAAGAAAACCATAGAAAAATTGAAGAAAACCATGGAACAATTGAAGAAAACTCGATAGAAACCATTGAAAAAAAAACTGAAACCAGTCGAAAAATTGATGAACAGTGCGAATGAGAGATTTTAGCTACAAAATGCAGCAAATGAGTGATTTTAGTTGCAAAAACCAAGGAAGGGAGCCTGGACGACCAGAAAAAAAAAAACAAACAAAAAAATAAAAAAATCACCCAAAAAATGCGCACCCATTAATAAGTGTCCTAACTAGCCCTTTTAGGGAAAAAACAACGCATGTCAGGACACTTGTTGAATCTGGACTCCAACTATATTCATGTCATTTGGGTTGAGCAATTGTTGCAAGAAACTCAGACGTTTACTCGTGGGTTTCTATGCATGCTTGTGCGAGAGGAACTAAAACTCTTTTCAACAAGTGTCCGGACTAGCCCTTTTCCATCATTGAAAACCATTGTTTCAGGACACTTGTTGGATCTGGTGTGTATTGGCTTCTGGTGGTTGTGGCTTCGCTTGGCTTTTGGCTTTTGGCTTTGGTTTCACTTGGTTTTTGGCCTTGGCCGTTTTGGCTTTTATGCAGATATCTAATGGAAAATGAAGGAAAACTAAGGGAAAATGAATGAAGGAACACTAACGGAAAATGAAAGAAACCAATTGGAAAATAAAGAAAAACTGATAGAAAATGAAGGAAAACTAATGGAAAATGGAACATGAAAGAAAACCAATGGAAAACTAATGGAACAACTATTGGAAAATGAAGGAAAACTAATGGAAAATGAAGGAAAAGTAATGGAAAATGAAGGGAAACTAATGGAAAATGAAGGAAAACTATTGGAAAATGAAGGAAACGTAATGGAAAATGAAGGGAAACTAATAGAAGATGAATGCAAACTAGTAGAAAATGAAGGAAAACTAATAGAAAATGAAGGAAACCTATTAAAAAATGAAGGAAAACTAATGGAAAATGGAAGAAAACTAATAGGAAACCAAAAAACAAAAAAAAAATCCTAAAAAAAAAACAAAAAAAAACCTAAAAAAAATCTTCGCCCTTAGATAATTAATATGTGTATATATATATAACACTGGATGTAATGGGATATGCTCTGGCAAAGATGGGTGATGCTGTAGATTACACTAGGCAAGTTTGGATTGCCGTTTAACTGGGATAATGGCGATATAATGGCTAAGGATACATACGGATAAGGGGTAGAATTGGAGATGGGATACAATGGGATTGAATACTGCGAATGTATGTATATAATATATATATATATACATATATATATATACATATCGCCAGCCAGGGTTTAAGCAACAAAGATTCGGGCGATTTTGGGTATGTCGACTAATGAAGCTAGTTGGTGGTTTCCAAGACGTTCCATCCCTAAACAGATGCTAATCCCAGTTAACTATAATGTTCGGATGGGTTTTTCATGTTGGTTTCCCAGCCACCTTCGCATGTTTTCGCTTTGTTTTCGTCGCAGGTGCATATTTTATCTGCCTTGAACTATCTGCATGGGCTGCCAGTAGTGCACCGTGATGTCAAGTGCGAGAAACCTGGCACCCAAATTTCACGTTTTTTTTTTTTTTAGGCAGGATTTCATGGGGATTTTACCAGTGAAATTTGGGGATGAATGGAGTATCAATGAACTACCATCTGGTTATTTAACATAGCCATGGAAAATCACCATTTTTAAGTTCGGTAAACCATCTATTTCAATGGGCCATCTGTACCATGGCGAACTGTTAGTCATAGCCAGAGGGTTTTCCCTGGCTGATTTCGGATGATCCTGCCACAAGAACTCAACGGGATGATCCTGCCACAATTTCTGGAGAATCAACGGCCATTGTTTTTGGAAAATACGGTAGAAATTTACCAACCCGGTTTGACCGTGAGTCAACCCGATGGATTTACCGTTTACGCGGTTTATGAAACATGGCGTGTTGGAAAAGCCATCCATGGGACAGAATGGGACAGAGATTGGGATGGAAAACTGCTGTTTCCATGCAGAACTAGGAAAAAAACGGATGATGTAAAACTGGTCTGGAGTCTGGTGGTTTCTGTTTTTGGTCATAGACCTGGGCTGAGATCTTCCGGACGTCATGAAACATTCGTTGATTTTTGGGCTGAAACTTCAAGATGGATTTTGTGATCTGGAGGTGTCATTGGATGGCGAATGGCTATGTCGTTGAAGTCTATGGTCGTCCTGGATTTTCCATATGTCTGCATCACTTTCTAGTTGAAGTAATTAACCTTTGCGAATCTTCCACTCTCAGCTTCCAGCATTACATGACCACCCAGCAATTCTGGGCGTTGAGGAACGTGCTCTTAACACAAAAGGGCGTTGCGCCAGAGCAGAACGTCTTCAAGCTGTGTGACTTCGGAAACGGTTTTTTCGACTGGTCGATTTTGATGGATTTTGTCCCACAGCGAAGGTTGTGTTTGAACATATTTGAGCCATATAGATACTATAGATAGTATAGATACTATAGATAGTATAGATACTATAGATAGTATAGATACTATAGATAGTATAGATAGTATTAATTCGATGAACACAATCCTGCAATGGCTTAGTGACAAAGTGTCTAGGGCTAGCATGGCGGTGGTTCAAAGCGTTCGCTTGACTTTCCACTTTTTTGGGGTAAGAGACAACAGCAAATTTTCAGGGTATGTTTCCTGAAATGGTTATTATTTCACTTTGAACTGGCACAACGACTTCAGTTAGACCCCGGACTTTTACGGTGATTGATCAGGCTTATCCAGTTATCTCCATCTTCAGACTACTGAAGGTTACCATTTTTCATTCCTTTTCCATGCCTTTTCCATGGCCAACTCAACCTTTTTCCACCCAAAACCGACTCTTGGGCAACCCAGGTGACTTCGGCTTCGCGGCCCGTCCCCGCCCGCCCTCCTATCGCCTTCACACACGGATGGGGTCTCCGGACACGGTGGCACCGGAAGTGGTGAGGGGCGAAGCGTACTGGACCCCTGTAGTGCCTTGGAGTGTTACATGGGAGATATTTACCCAATGATTTGGGCACTGAATCTCCTGGGAATGGGGGAAGTTGAATAAATGGGATTCTTCCTGGGAATATCATGGGGATCTGAGCATGGCATAAATCTGGATGAAGTTGATCATGACCTCATGTCGTGATGTCACTGGAATGATGCTGAGTGAGGGGAATCATCGATGGCAGTATGATAACAGGTACTTTCAGGTTGGTGAATAATCATACCATCAGCCAATGGGAACTGGATAAAAATTACTTTACTTCGTGTGATCCCCACCATGACATTTATACATTTTCTTACTGGCAAATCTTCTGGCATTCTATCTGACATATCTTCTGACATTCTATTTGGCATTCTATCTGGCATATCTTCTGGCATATGATCTGGCAAATCTTCTGGCATATCTTCTGGCATTCTATCTGGCAAATCTTCTGGCATTCTATCTGTCATATCTTCTGGCACTCTATCTGACATATCTTCTGGCATTCAATCTGGCATTCTATCTGGCATATCTTCTGGCATATATTCTGACATATCTTCTGGCATTCTATCTGACATATCTTCTGGCATATATTCTGACATGCCAGATAGATATGTCAGAAGATATGCCAGAAGATATGCCAGAAGATATGCCAGAAGATATGTCAGAATATATGCCAGAAGATATGTCAGATAGAATGCCAGAAGATTTGCCAGATAGAATGCCAGAAGATATGCCAGAAGATATGCCAGATCATATGCCAGAAGATATGCCAGATAGAATGTCAAATGAAATGTCAGAAGATATGTCAGAAGAGCGGTTGAGGTCCTGCAGGGACCACTGGGCGCGGATGGTCGCGGTTGAGGTCCGGCAGGGAACACTGGGCGCGGATGGTCGCGGTTGAGGTCCGGCAGGGAACACTGGGCGCGGATGGTCGCGGTTGAGGTCCGGCAGGGAACACTGGGCGCGGATGGTCGTGGTTGAGGTCCGGCAGGGAACACTGGGCGCGGATGGTCGTGGTTGAGGTCCGGCAGGGAACACTGGGCGTGGATGGTCGTGGTTGAGGTCCGGCAGAGAACACTGTGGATCGCGGGTCGCAGTTGAGCAAGGACGACGAGGACGACGAGGAGGACGAGGAGGAGGAGGAGAGGAGGACGAGGCAGGACGAGGCGGAGGAGGAGGAGGAGAAGGAGGAGGAGGAGGAGAAGGAGGACGAGGAGGAGGACGAGGAGGCAACTGACATAAAATCTAACAACCCTCACCTGGCAGGTGGGGAAAAATGGCATTTCATGGTGATTCGCGAGGGATTTCACCCACATAAATAGGAAAACATGGAGATAGGAATGGAATTTCCTTTCCATTAACTGGTTGGTGGTTTGGAACATTTTTTAATTTTTCAATTCAGTTGGGAATGTCATCATCCCAACTGACTTTCACTAACTCATATTTTTCAGAGGGGTAGGGCTCAACCACCAAGCAGATTTTCTACATCAAAACAGCCTTCTGAAATCCCATGGATTTTCCCTGGATCTGTCTCAAAACGCCTGCCTCACCAAAGATGATTAGGTCGCATTGAGGGAATCATAGATGATTTCCATAGATTTTCCAGATGGTGGATTCAAAATGGTGATTTTGGAGGAGGTTTTTGGTACTGTCGATGATTGGTTGCCTTAGAGTTGCGTGGGGCATCGATGGCTAGTCATGGTGAGACACTTTCTGTTTTTTTTGGGTAAAGTGGTATGAATCATTGGGGGAGTTCCTGGTATCAACCTGCTGCTGTGCACATTTAGAAGTTTCCACGGTATTGGCCTTGCCGGAAGAAGAGTGAAATCATAAAACATCATGAAACCATGGTCCATCATGGTCCTATGGTTTCTTTTCAAATATATATAGCATTATATAGCTAAGCTTCTAAGCCCCTCTTCGCAGGCTTCATACTGGGTTACGGGAATCCTCGCCACCAAGGATTGCTGGGCGGCAGGTGTGTTGCTCTACATGTCGCTATCAGCTACGCCGCCCTTCTATGCACAGTCAGATGCCGAAGTCTTGCAGAAGGTTAGAAACTGCATTTACAAACTCGACGGAAGCTCGATCTTAAGTTTTGGTGGAAGCTGACTAGCTCGAGCGGTATCAAAATTTGAGGTGATTTGGGGACTTCTATGTTTATATGCCATATAATAAGATCATATAAGATCTATATCGAAACCTAAATGCTTACGTATTTCAAATTTCTCTATACCCTCTGGTTATGACTAACATAGCCATGGTACAGATGGCCCATTGAAATAGATGGTTTACCGAACTTAAAAATGGTGGATCTTTCCATGGCGAACTGTTAGTCATAACCAGAGGGTATAGAGAAATTTCTGTGTGCCAAAAAACCTCTGAGACCTCGTCAGAACTCGCCGGTTGGCATGTCCAAGCCAAGCCATGGCATCCGGACGGAACGAATGGAAGTTTCGCGGAATCAGATTCCGAAAGTGAGCGAAGACTGAAGACAAAAATGGAAAAATATCAACCTAGATATAGATATTTTATGATCATATAGATATGTTTAGAGTTTAGACCCCTTTTTTTGGGTTTGTGAGAGAGGAAGAAGCCTCACTTTAGTTCATGATGAACGTCGAACAGTTCCAGTTCACCGCTTCCCCTGACCGTGACCGGCCAGGAAGGCGATGGAATTTCGTATCGGATGATGCCAAGAATCTGATTCGAGGTCTCATGAAATTCGAAGCATCAGCTCGTGCTACAGCAACTTACCATAGAAAAATCTCTGGGATGTGCGGAATCCTGCGGAACTGACCATTGAAAAAATTCCCCAGAAATTCGTATAATTCGGCAAAACAACAAGCACCATATAATACCATATTAATGGATCTTTATGGTGTCGTGGAATCGACAAAAAACATATGTTGATTTATGAAGGGATCCTGGAGAATGACCGAATGATCCCACGGAAAGCAGGGCGTCTGGGCAGGGCGTCTGGGCAGGGCTCGGGCTCGGTTGGGCTGGAGGTCGACCTTCCAAAGTCCAGATTCGCTCGGAGACATCAGATATCATCCGACTTCAGAGAGTTCTTCATTTTATCAAGTCTAAAGATTGTATCAAGACATGTCATAGAATATAACTAATTAGATAGATAGATAGATAGATGGATATATATGTGTGTGTGTGATACATTTAGGATGAGTAATTTCAGTGTCGAAGCTCCCAAGACACAACGGTTGGGACGTTTAGGACGGCATGATCACCAAGGCCACCAGGTCGTTTTTCCGGTGAAAATGGCTTGCTGCATACAGCAGTGAATATTTACCATTAATTTACCATTCATATACGGCAGTTATACATACATATACATATACATAATATATGAATCAAATATATATATATATATATATGCATACTTGCATATATAACCATTAAAGAGCCCTGGGCTACTCCTAACAGGGCCACTCCTCAAAGTTGCTATCCTTAAAAATAAACTAAAAAAAAACATCATAAATTCAAAAACAACCTTCCAAAAAATCAATTAACAAATTCAAAAAGAAGCTCGAAACCTCAAACAAATCCAAAGAATCGCAAAATAAGTAAACAAACAAAAGTACAGATAGATATTAAAAAACAAACAGTTCCCAAAAAAAAATCAATTCAAAAACATAAACAAATAACCAAACACATTCAAACAAATCAACAAAAAATCAAAAATCCGGGAAACCATTTTAAAATTATCATGTTTTTAAATGTATTTCTTTAAAATAACCTAAAAAGTAATGAACAATAACTATTTGGAATGAGATTAATATTTTTGGAATTACATGGAATTATTTGAAACAAAATTGTTTTTTTGGAATTAAAATGAATGAACAGGAATGTTCTAGGAGTGTCCGAATAAGGAATGTCCCTCTCGATATAATTTATGTTTGTGTATATATATATATACATAATATAATATTATATATGCATATTGTTTTTGCCCAACATCTCTTCCCATCACAAACCACTGTGATGAGTCAATGAAGCACTGCAAGTTGTTGTTTGGCGGCTGCAATCGCTGCTGATTTGCGCGATCGGTCTGCGATCGGTGTCACTGAAAGAACCTCTTCTGAAAAAACCAAGAGTTAAAGGAGATTTCCAACTTTAGATCTTGGTTTGTCCAAAAAACTGAGGGATACCCCACATTTTTTCTATGTTCACAGGAAACAAAACATGATAAACCATGAGATTTGGAAAGCATTTTCTCACAAACCCATATCTCTATAATCTGTAATTATATCCTTCCATCATCCATTTATATGTATCTATTTACACTCGAATCTACCGTCCTTTAACCTACTCTTCCTATCTACAAGAATAATAGTAGTACTAATTTTGACAATGATAGTACCAATAATGACAATAAGAAGAATAATGACAACAATTTAACACTAGTCATAGCAACAGTAATAATCATAAAGCAATAGTAAGAATTTAATAAGAATACTGATAAAGATAAGATAAAGAAAACAACTATACCTCCATCTATCCAGACATGAATAGCCAGAGCTTATGACCGGCCCAGGCAGTTGAGGCGCTGGATCACCCCTTCCTGCGACAAGCACGGCTTGAGCTGTCCGATGCCTCGTTCTAGGACGAGGTGCCCATGGCGTCATTTTGTCAAGAGGATGGGAAAATTCAATCCATTTCTGGGGAATTTAATAATATATATATAATACCTCTACTATATATATATATATGATATGTATGTATATATAATTATATGCGTGTATATGTAGATTGTATTTAAACTTTATATTGTTGAACAAAATATATCCTTATCATTCCTTATCAAGGATCCCCATGTGATTGGGATGAACCATAAACCACTCATCCCATGTTTTGACCATTGGGGAAGGACGTGGCGGGATGAACCTACCTATTTTTTGGTCAGTTTTGCAATTGAGGTGAGCATGGAATCTGAATTGCATCTTGGATTTGAGTTTATTTTGTTGTTTTTTTCCCATTTTCCCATTGAGTAGAGTCCTGCTGAAAAATCACGGGGATTTTTTTTTCGGGTCAGTAGCTAATAGCTTTAGTTTTTTTGCTTGGGGGTCCTGGATCGCAAATCCGAGGAGTTTCTAAGAATAGTTTCAAGTTGCAAAGTGCAGAGGTGAGATGCACGACGGTTCCGGCTGTCGGCCGCGCACGGTGTACCACGTGTACCGGTGCCCACTGGTGACCATCGGTGGTCCGGTAGGCCTGGGATGACTGCCGACAGGTCGACTATGATCTGTTCATTTCGAAGTGTTCCCCCGGCCGAGTCTGGATGGTCAGGCGATTTTGAACGAAGGTATTCCAAAGCAGCACGGCTGGTGGAAGTGGAAAAGTGTATTAATAATAACTGGTTGGTGGTGACTGGAACATTTTTTTACTTTTCCCATATATTGGGAAGAATCATCCCAACTGACTAATATTTTTCAGAGGGGTTGAAACCACCAGCCAGAGAAGTATAAGTGTTATATGGATTTTGTTGCCACCCGGCCACGATAATCCAGACAACACAGACTACGAAGCACAGAGATTGCTGGATCCTATGGTGTGCCAGGCTACCCCGATGAAATGTATCAAGGGGTTTCCAGCACTTTTCACCAAGCAGTTCCAATCCGCACTATGGGATACTACGGGGTGGATTGGCAGACCATTGATGACCCAGAGTTGCCAAACGTTGCGCGCAACACAGTCTTGCACGGCTCGCATGTCAGATACAAGCTCCGCGGTTTCACTCAGCTGTCAACCCTTTGGTGACGTACAGATCAAACGTGTGCCGCGCGTGCCGCGCGTGCCGCGCGCCTAAAATGCTGCTGATGACGGTCGGAAGTTGGTCCAAAATGGAACATGCCCTGAAGATATACCCTCCGGTAAACTGAAATAACGATGGAAAAATATAGAAATTCAGTGAACAAACAAATCAGGAAATTCAATGTGTTGGAAAGGTAAATCAATTGTAAATGCGCCATTTTGAATATAGCTATATAAAATTACCAGAGGGTACTCAGTTGGTTTCCCCATCATGTCAGCGTCCTACACATGCTGCCTTTCGACATTTCCATCAAAGAGACAGGACTAGACTAGTGACGAGAAGAAAAGAGGGTACAAAAGCCCGGGGCAATAATCTCACGGTAAACAAAACGAGCCGTGCGGGGTTCATGTCGAAACTCCCAACAGCAGTCATTTCTTAAATAATGCTCATACATGATTACATGACAGTACTTTAACCACCCAATAGTCCCCCAACATTATAACAAAATCGAATTGTTATATATATATATTGTGATCTTTAATACATATTTTATATCATGTTTATCAAATTTATTTGAATCACCCTGGACTCAGACTCCTGGCATCTCCTGTTCCTTCGTCCAAGGCTCCTTTCGTGTGGATGCTGCTGACCAGTGAAGAGCGTGCGGCGACTGCCGGTTTCAAATCCCTTGAGATACCCCGGTAAAAACAGAAAACATGGCGACCCTTTGCTAAACGTTTACAGTTTGCGAACTGGAAAATCCCCATGTTTGATAGGTAATTAAATAAACTCTATGGTCCATTTTCCATAGCTGTAGTCAAATTACCAGAAGCTAAACTGCAAGTCGATTCGCAGAAATTTCAGGCATTTTTCTGTACCGCACGCCAGGATCAATGGTTGAAGATGCATAAATCTGCTTTGCTCTGGGCCCGAATCAGTTAACCAGCTGATCATTTACGCAGGTCTTCCAGATGTACTTAGCAACAATAGAAACATCACTCCTGCTCCAGTTGGTAGATTGGTAATTAAATGGTTTAATAATCCCATTGTTGATAGTGGCTCATAGTTTCCAATAGTTACCAACTGGCGCAGGATTTCGCAACCATCCACAGTATGGTAGCTGCTTCGACGACGCAGACGCCGTCTAGTGGGCAGCGATTCGGGATGAAGCCGGCCGATGTGGTGGAAAAACCCCAGCTGCGGCCAGAGAATCAAAGAGTTTGCGATGGAAAACCTCATCAACCACTATTTTGAAATATTTTGAATAGGTAAATCATTGGTAAATCATGCATCATTTTGGTAAATCCTCGAAGTCAATGAGCATAAGCACTGCATTTTTGCCATTTTCCATCGATTCCCAGAGGTGCTTGTTCCCAGAGGGGTGGCAACCGGGGGCCATCCGATCCGCCAAGGATCACACACCACGACAAAGAGCCCCACAGGACGCGGCCAGGGTGACCGGCGCCGGACACGACGGCCATGTATATACCATCTGGTAAACTAACATAACCATGGAAAATCACCATTTTTAACAGGTAAACCATCTATAAATGGTATAGTTGACTTACCACTAGTCAATTTTTGTTAATTTTTCCATGGCAAAGTCGTCTTATTTTAGCAGAGGGTCTCCCCAATCTAAGGCCATATATCGATTTACCAATCTGGTTTACTAAGTTTACTAACAACTTAGCTTATCCCCAATCAACTCTTGGTTTACCAGAGGTGTTGATGAACATTCCACCCACCTTTGGAATCCACGTCAGCCACCTGCTGTGGCAGGATGCGCCGATGTGGCAGCGCTTGAACTCAATGAAGGCGCGAAGGATTGTGGGGGGTGCATCCCAGGCATAATCATATAATCTGGTTGGTGGTTTGGAACCATGGAATTTTATTTTTCCCATTCAGTTGGGAATAACAAGTTCCAACTGACGAACTCCATCATTTTTCAGAGGGGTAGGTATACCATGGTATACCACTGTTATACCACCAACCAGAATATATATATATATATACACAGTATATATATATATATAATAATGTAACTATATATGATAATATATGTATAATCTTATTTTTCTGTTTTTATATTAACAGTAATATATATATATATATATATGTATATACATACATACACATATATATATATTCTAACCCAAAAAACATCTGTAGCTGGGGTATAGTACGATTACAAACTACTTACTGGCTGAGATGCACGTTCACATCTGTTTCAGCCACAGAAATGAGCTTCGCTATGGCAAAACCACAAGCATGGGCATCATGGGCCATGGGATTTTTTCATGAATTTTATGTCGCCATTTCTCCTCCAGCCTCCCATGATTTATGATAGGGGACTTCAGCCGCATCACGGCTGGTGATTTTTTGTGATGCAATAAACGAGCACCAGTATTCTGCAATGGCGCAATGGCATTTTTCATTCATGAGGTTGTCCAACGAAATGAGCGGAGGTATCTGCGAGTCAACTAGCGATAGTGGGAATATGTAGGAATAGTACTTCACTTTCTCCTGAAGATTGTTTTGATTGTACATAATTATGGGGGTTTCCTAAAATGGGGGTACCCCTAAATCATCCGCTATAATATGATTGTCCATACCCCCATTTATGGAATCCCACAGTCACATGTTCAACGTCATACTGTAAATTGTGTTCATGCTTAAGGCCAGGGACAACCTGAAGCATGCCGCTAGACTGGTCGCAATTCCAAGCACTTCTGCTACCCAGAAGTAACATATTCCAATCTACCTTCATCAATGCTTCTTATCTCGGGGCAGAAATTTTAGGGGTTATTAACTATCCCCCTAAAATTTCACAAAAAATCACACTTTTTGAGAAGAAACTTCCTAGACCCTCACTTTGTATCCAAAAATTGGGTAGTACTTTGCCCAATTTTTATGGCTGGAGGATTTTCCCTGCTACCCCAGTTTTTCCACAGGCCGGTTCGAAGCGACGCTCGGTTGCGACAATTTTAGTAGGGGAGACGGTGCCGGGGAGGGCCATTGAAAATCTCATAAAATCTCCATGAATGGAGGTTTTAATGGAAAAGTCCGGGAAAGTCAAATATAAATGGCGGAATTTTTATTGCCATCTTTGATTGCCGAAGGGTAGATGATCTAGAATACAAGGGAGTTTCCAGTACGATGCTTTGCTGATTTTGGCAGCCACACGTTTGACCGACATGCATATCGATCATATCAATCCCGTTGAATGTGACTGAAGCAGTAATTACCTGGTGAGTTCATCTCATTTTTTTGGTGCAAAAAACTGTTTTGAAACCTAGTCACTTGAGATGATAATGGCTGAGTGGTGCTTTCGGCTTAGAATCCCAACAACCATCCTTTTGAAGGGAAGGATATTCAGGATATTTCGATGAGAACCAAACCACATTTCCGCGACTGCTCCGTTCGGGGTTGATATCTTGCCACATTTACCATCTGGTTATTTAACATAGCCATGGAAAATCACCAGTTTTAAGTTCGGTAAACCATCTATTTCTATGGGCCATCTATACCATGGCTATGTTAGTCATAACCAGAGGGTAACGGCCATTTCCAGCTGAGGTTGGTTAAACGATGGCCTATCCTCCCTGAAATTCTTCTCTGCGGGAGATGCCTTGGAGACTCAGGTGCGGGAAAGCATCCACCCGGCCTGGTGAACCTACAAAAAGCTATGGAAAATCACCATCTTTAATAGGTAAACCAACTATAAATGGGCCATTTTCAATAGTAAACTGCTAAATTACCAGAGGGTACCTGGATATGGGATCGATTTTTTCAAGATCTTCGCTAAAGGGGGAGCCGGGGAAGATGCAAGTGATCTGCGTTTCGTAGCTTGACGCAAGAACACTCCCTGAGCATGTCGGTACCTACATGGGTCAATAGATGTCACATGTATCGGAAAGTGTCAACTTGCAGATCTATGGCAAACAATTGGGGAGCTGCTTTTGAGCGGAATCTTGATCTTGAAGCAACTTCACCTGGACATTCGAGTGCTTCACATCTTCAGTTGGATCAGAGGTCGAAACGCAGAAGCCAGCTTTCTGGTGAAAGCCTGTTGCCTGATTCACATACAGCGTGCGTATGCTATAGAGTCCTACTGCTGAACATTTTAATGTTTTATCAGCTCTTATCACCTCCCGCAGATCGTTTTTAAAGGCTTTCCAGAACCTTGCAAGTCCACACTTCCTGTGTCGATTTCTTTTTTGGGCCGTTGCCATGTCGTCACTCTACGATTCGCCATCGGTGTTGCACCCAGTCGGGCTTTGATGTCGCCAGATGTCAGTGGTGGGCACCACCTGTAGCTTGAGAATTGGGGCGGCCCTGATAGTGATCAATTCTGGGAAATTCATCATGTCTCCTTCCTATCAGAATGAATAGCTTGTGCACACCTTGCTTTAGCCTTGCATCAAATCATCTTGGGGCCCTGCAACCGAGGCTGAAAGTTTGGAACACATGCGAGATGACAAGGTCCTGCAGAAGATCAACGACTCGTGCGACGGGAGTTGGTGTGGTTGGACCGTTGGACCCAAGGACCCAAGGTGTTCAAATTTTGCAGAGGGAGCAGGAAATATATAAGAAATGATCAGATGGGGGTTTCCTAAAATAGGGTTACCCTATGGTACCCCCAGTTCTCATCCATTTATTGATTGATTTTCGCTCATAAACCATCCAGCTATTGGGTATCCCGTTTGTGGAAACATCCAATTTTCAGCTATTTTTATGCTTTGGGATGCTCAATGACATCCACACCCTCTTGTCACGTGCGGTGCGAGTTTGGTGAGGTATGTGCGATCCTTGATGAAGATGATGTCATCCAAGGTTCTGAAGGAATCCGGGGAGCACAAGCGGTGATGGATGTTGGCAGATTGTTCACACCATGCACCATCCAGCAAAGGGCTTTCCCGGGTGATCAGCAATGTTTTGATGCAGCAAGTGGAGTCTAAACTCTTAACTTGAGTTATCTTGAGTGGTTCTTCCAGAAAAGCATCAGGGCATTTCCGCAAGACAGGTTGGGGGGAGCATGGAGTACTGCAATTATGCACTCCATGATTTTGAGAACAAGTTGTAATTAAACCGTTTTTCTCCTGGGTTATCATTGAGTTTTTACACGGTTTTACACGTGTTCTCTTGGATTCTGCTAGGTTCGGTGGCAGATGATCCGCAACATTCCGCAACATTCCGCAACCACCCGGCAGTCTTTCCTGAGCTGAGGAGCTACGCGCGGAGAATGAGACCATCCAAAAGCATCTGACTCTGGGAAATTGTTTAGCACAATTTGTACATTCGGAATGTCTAGGCATATACTGGTTTGTGGTTTGGAACATGAATTCTATGTTTCCATATGTTGGGAATGTCATCATCCCAACTGACTAATATTTTTCAGAGGGGTAGGGCTCAACCACCAACCAGTGATGCGTCTACCATGATCATGGGATTTTTCATGGAATATTCATGAGATGAATATAGGTACCCTCTGGTAAACATACAAAAAGCTATTGAAAATGGCCATAGAAATAGTGAGTTGTCCCATTAAAAATGGTGATTTTCCATCGTTTTTTGTAGGTTTACCAGGCCGGGTAAATGTGACTTCGGTGTCGGCTCCATCGCGGGCAAAATCATCCTATGAATTGGGAATGTTCCATTGCCTTTTTTGATGACCAGAGGGCCAGAGGGTAACTGTAACGCATTTCACCATTGAAAACGAATCAAAACATATACAAAAAAACTAGCAGTACCCTCTGGTAAACTAACATAACTATGGAAAATCACCATTTTTCATGGGAAAACTCACTATAAATGGCCATTTTCAATAGCTATGTTAAATTACCACAGGGTACCGCATTTAAAAAACATATAAATATATATGTATATATAAAATAAAAATGCATGTTAACTGTTACCACTCTTGTTGACCGGATGGTTCTATTTTGGTTGGGCTTGCGATCATTGGGCCGCACGCCTGCCGTTTTTTTTTACAAACGTTGATGACCTGTTTGGACCAGTTGTTAAGGAAATCCCTGGTTGGTTCCCATGTGGACATGATGTAAATTCATGCCAAGTTTTCAATAGCAAACTGTTGCTTACTATCAGAAATTATCAGATATTGTCGTATCATGTCGTATCATATCTTAGGATGGAAAAACTATGAACACCTGCCTTAAACTGTTAACTCTTCACATTTCCATGACTGGGAAGATCTTAATCTAAACGGCTTAGTTCCGGTTTTCTTCACCTGCCAGTTCAATTTTCAGTAGTTTCGACGGCTGCTTTTTGATGGTTTTTGCCAGGAGTCCGCCCATCTAAAACACTGGTTGGTGGTTTCCAACATTTTTTATTTTCCATAATATTTGGGATAATCCTTCCCATTGACTAATATTTTTCAAGATGGTTAAAACCACCAACCAGAACAGCTTGTTTCACTGGACTACAGATTTAGAGATGAATCGATTCATCAGAAACAGCCATAGCTATAGCCATAGCCGCTGGGAGAAAATCCCCGTAGCCACAGGAATGCGTTGACCAAAGATGCCGCTCGGAGAAAGCGATCAGAAACTCGCACTTTTTGAGTGCTGTGATTTTTGATCTGATTTGGCTTCACTAATGGCTTGATCATGGGATTTATCATGGGATTCATCATGGTTTATTTATGTTTATTTACCCAACCTGATGATCGATCATCCCATTGATCAGTTCGACTGGATGATTTCTCGTTCGTCCTTCGGAACGGTGAGCTGAGTGAGCAGCTACAAGAAGAGTTTCCCAAGCACTTGATAGTTATCAATGGTTTATCATGGTCTATCATGGTATATTGAATTTATCCAGGACTATCAATCATCCCGTTTATTATGGCCCTTATTCATGGGTTTATCATGGTTTATCATTGTTTTTCAATGTTTGTCAGGGGTTTTCAACATGGCCGCAGAGCTGGTTTTGTGCTCTTTTTGAGCTTCAATTCCTGGAAACAATGAACATTTCCCTCAATGCATTTGGATATGTATATATATATTTATTGATGTATTTTTTGGATAGATCTTAGCAAGATAGCATATTTAGATGATTTTTTCCTCTGAAGTCATGATTGCCACATAGATCTACTGAAAGTTAAGTGGAAAAAGTGGCGGATCGCCATGGAGCCATGGAGCCATGGCGGCGGAGGAGGTTTTTTTCCCGGATCTGTTCGAAGAGTCTGCAGTCAGACTGGCACCGGCGCCCGAGACTCTGGCCAACGAACATGGATGGAAGGCCAAGCTATGGCTATGGGTATCCCCTTAAATTAAGGGAGCTGCCACGGAAGATAGTTCTGCAGATGTTTATGGCTGATGAATGGACACGCTCTTTGTATGTTGACTTCTTTGGGGAAGTGTCAAAATCCTATGATTTATGCCATATCTGGATATATCTAGGCACCTCATCACTGGGTGAGGTGAACAAAAGGCTACCAGCATTTGACTCATAGCCATAGCCAAAACATGTTAAAACCCCCAATGGATTTCAGCTCAGCTTTGCCATCATCAAGAGTCTAGGATAGTGTTTTTTTACATGTTTCTCGTTTCAATCTACAGATCTAAATGTAGGTGACTATCTATATTAATCCACATTGGGAACATGGGAATTGTATTGGAACATGGGAATGTGTTTTTTATGTTCAGATTAACCATCCCATTGGTAACTAAGTTAGAACATAAATAAGTAAATGCATACATATATATATATAATTTATATATATATTATAATATATATTATACATCACCAATCCAAGTTTTTTGTAGCCATGCAGAATGGCCTTGTGGCCGGCTGCTGAGCTGTTTTTTTTCCCCTCCGGAGGTCGTGGAAGAATCGTTGCCCGATGGCTGCGCCATGCGCTGGATGGTCTGTGAAGAGTCGTTTTCTTTGGACCAGACACGTGTGAAACTAGGCAGGGCACGGCACTGTGGGTCATGGCATGGCATTTTGAAAAACACGGATGTTAAGCATATTGGCTGGACGGTGGCTACAACCTCTGGCACTTTGTTTAATTTAAATCATACATCATTGATGTGTGAAACTTTGTTCAAAGGTATAGAAATCGGCAGAAAAAAGAAATATCGAGAGCTGAAAAAACGCGTCCAATTGCCGATGCTTGCGTCCACAGCGCCTTCATACTTGCCTGCTTCCTGCCAATTCTCACACCCAAAAGGGCATCTGTTCCACTATTTGCCATCCGATTCAAGGGTGAATTGTATTAATATATTAGTAACCCCTATAGGGTTTTGGAAAAATAAGGCATCCAACTTAGTCACCACAATATCAACCTCGGCACCCCCAAAGCCATCCTGAGTTTCACAAGGTAGTGCACCCTACGTAGCTAAGTTCGTTCGCAATTGGGCCAACGAGGATTTATGGTATATCTGCAAGTTAGATGGGCTATGATGGCTTTATACATATGCATAAACCAGCAATTATATCTGGGGTGCCACCTTGTCCCAATTATATCCCGTTTTTGGTGCTTCATATCCCATAATTGCAGCCGAAAATTCACTAATATCCATTGAGATATTATATTCATTTATATTCATTTATATGCATAGTTCTTACCTATTCCACACCCACCATTTTTGGGCATTTCCCAAACTCCTCGACTCCCCAGGTCCCCCGGACGCTTCGGGGCACCGTGCCGTGCACTTCACCCAGCTCCGTGCCACGTCGCATCAGCTGATGGCGTTGCTGGCGGCCCTGGCTCCGTCGATGTCGGCTGTGGTGGTGCTGGGCGGTGGTGGCATGGCGCTGCCCATGGCGATGCTGGCGGCGGGCTATGCGGGACGGGTGCATGTGGTGGAACTGCACCCAAAGGCGCCGCGATGGCGAGTTGGGGCCCAGGGATTTGGGTATGAATCAATACCTATTAATACCATTTTTAGGGGGATGAACATCCATTTACCAGCTATTTTGATGTTCACCAGGGGTACAAGGTTTTGACACACTGCCATTTCGGTGCTGGAAGTGATGTTTTTTTTTTGGGGGGGGGAAATGATCTACAAATGGTGGGTTTTGCAAACCAGCTTATGGAACATGGACCATTTGTAGATGATTGATGATTTACCGATCGAAAGATCGAAAGTCGAAAATAAATGGGGAGACGTTTGGAGCCACTTAGAGTTTCTCAACCACACCATAGAGGATGCTGGGAATATCAAGGGATATAATGGCTGAAGCCAATGAGTGGAGGGTGGTCGGACATATTTATTGTTTTCAACTCTGGAAATGGGATGAGGACCAATGATTTGTTGAAAACCAGCCAGATGATCTGTGGATATTTCTGGTGCAGCAGTTTCTGGTGACACTTTCGCATCTTCCAGCCCGTCTGTGCTGCTGAGAAACTCTGTTCGATCCTTGTTTGAGCTCCCGGCCCAGGTCATTGAGTTTGCTCAACGATTTTTTGGTGCGGAGCATCCACGGTTGATTGTGCACCAGGCAGATGCTCTTGAAATGGTGGCAAGTGGTGAACTTGGGAAATTGGACTGCAAGTTGTCAACTTTCTTGGTGGACGTGGATTTCATGCGCTTTCCGGAGGCCTGGAAAGACTAGAAAGTTTCGAAAAATACCACACTCATACCTAACCTCGTCTCATGAAGTGTGTTTTGATGTTGCGACCACTTTTTAAATTATAGTATCATGATCTTCAGTGAACTCTTTGGAGCTGGGAATGGCAAGAACTCTGGGAACATTTGCTCCTGCTTCTTGGCTTGAACTAAAAGTTGAGCACAGAGCTCTCTTCAAGAAAGTGTTGCAAGGATGCAAATGTTCAATAAGTTGTAAGGATTTCTCATTTGCTTCTTGGCTAAGTTTAGACGAACCCCCAAACTCACTCAAAAGAAAGGCTTTGGTTTCCACATTATACATTACAGTATATATATAATCATACATTTACATATATATATACTGGTTGTTATATGTAGATATATATATATTCTCTCTCTCTCATAATGCATATGTATATATATATATTTATATATGGTCATTCATGAAACCAGTTGGATCATTTAACCAATTGGATCTCTACATTTATCTGGTTGGTGGTTTCAAACCTTTTTTAGTTTCCATTTCATATATGGGATGTCCATCCTTCCCAACTGACTTTCATATTTTTTCAAGAGGGGTAGGTCAACCACCAACCAGTTTTCGACATCCTAATCTTACTGGTGCTTAGTAGGGAATGGATGGGTTGCTGGTGGGATGATTATTAGTGATTATGGATCATTCCCGAAAATTCCCTGCGTTTAGCACCAGTAAGTAATTTTTCTTCGGTCCCACAAGGTGGTGCCCCAGTTCGTTAGCTAAGTTGGTGCAAATAACTCCCATTTCACTATGGTTTATGGCAGATATAACTATAGTATTCATGGGGTTTATAAACCAACGTTCACATCACTGGGGGGCACCATCCTGCAGGTACCGGAGCTTTTCATCTCCCATCGTTTCTGGCGTGAGACCTGGGCCCTGCTGTGCCCCGATGGCGCCGTCGCGGTGAACGTCATCGGCTGCGACCGCAGCGCTTCGTCGGGGGTCTCAACGTCCGGGGCGTGTGGAGTTTTTTGGGGCAAAAACCATGGGAAAATGGTGACTGAATGGCACAACATTGGCGCATTAATGGGATTTCATGGGGTCCAATGGCTGATTTCATGAAATAGATTTAAAATCACCCTAAAAATAGTTTTTCCGGTGATTTCTCGGTTGTTGGGTTGGTGAAACATGGTGCCTGAAGTTTGTTTCCCCCTCAAAAAACAAGAAGAATTGGCAAACCTGACTTCCCAGAATTGGGTTCCAGACAACATCTATTCCAATGTTCTTCATGGTAAAAGCCACGGAATCCTATCAAATCCACATCAAAAAAATCCACGTTTTCCCCCTGTAGAATCCCCATGGCCCATCAGAACTTCCCTAGGCTCCACTCGTTGGTTACTGTGGCCACGGCCTGTGCCCCTGGTCCCGTGGGGGCTTTATTGGTGGAACCGGAGGACGCCGAGCACCGCACCTGGACGCCGATGATGCCCAGGGCTGGGGTGTTGATCTTGGGCCCCAGGGAGCAGCTGCAGCAGCTTGGCGAAATTAATCAGTTGATTTTCAAAGCGAATCAAACTTACCCTCTGGTTGTTTAACATAGCCATGGAAAATCACCATTTTAAATAGGTAAGCCATCTATAAATGGGCCATTTTCCATGGCTATGTTAAATTGCCAGAGGGTAAGGGATTTTTGGGGATGTCATATTTAATTTGGGATTTCATAGGTTACCATGGCGATGTTTTTTTTGGGATGAAATTTGGGATGAAATGTGGCCTACGAGTATAGCTGGTGGTTTAGCCCATGAACTGCTGATCTTGGGATTTGCTGAGCAGATTATTTTCTATGTTTTCCATCAACTAATCCAGTAGTTTGGAATCTATATGGAACATTTTCTGTTGTCAACGGCCCCTTATGCAAATCCAGGTTTGGGACTGGTGATGATTTGGAGGCTGATGTTTTGGGTGTGCTTAGGATCTGTTTTGATTTATTGGTGGGGGTGATCTTTGTTATTTGTTAATTTGTTTATCAATCTTTTTGATGGCTTGCACTGCAGGACAGTAGGACAATTCTATGGGGTTGCTTGGAGTGTTTTCATTGGGGTGATAGTAGTTCAATGTATTTCACCTGGGTATAAGATGCTTTAAATGAACTTCTCAAGGAAACATCTGGGTTTAGCCACATTTTTTACCACTAAAAATAGAGGGGTGTCCAGAAATTACCATGGCCGCCAGGCAGATCCAGCACAGCCCAACGTGTACGGCTGCCTGGCTGGGAGATTTGTCGGCAGATGTGCTGCAGAGTTTGAGGACTGGCACAGGGGCAGCTGGAAGGCGCGAATGGTTGGATGGCAGCTGAAAGCGCGCGGTTTTCTGCGATTTTTGGGTGGAAACTTAAGGTTTGTCTGACACCAGTATGGGATATCGATTTTCATATCAATTTTGATGGTGAACATGATGATTCATCATCAAATTGAGGGGGGTTACCCGGTAAATTTTCAGACAGACCTCATACTTTTCTGCAGTTCACTTCGCACTGCAGAGTTGCTGTGATCGTGGATGTCAAGCTTTGCGCGTGTTGAGATTTCGTGCATTTGCTGAGGCAAAAAGGTAAGAAACTGGGATAAGAAGCTGGGGCACCACTTGATGGACAGCATCAGATCATGAATTCATCATGAACTAGTGGTTTGACAGGCACTTTGAGAGTTCGCATTCCATAAGATGCACCGAAACAAGATTTCAATGGAACCAAAGATGCAATTTCCTCAAAAAGGGCACCTCAGCTTTCAAAGCATTTTTTCCGGATTTAAACATTGTTGGATTCTATTTGTTCCGAAAAGAATTGGATGCGTTCATTCTATATTATGTTCTATCCTATGATATTCATTGATATTCTAGATGTTTTTCATTCTATACCATCTGGTTATTTAACATAGCCATGAAAAATCCCTTATAAATGGAGGTTTCTAGCTGGGAAAATCATCTATAAATGGGCCATTTTCCATGGCAATGTTAAATAACCGGAGGGTATATGTTCGTTGTGCACAACGTATGTCATTCCGTGCGGTCCCAACCGCTGAGGTCCACCTTTTAGCCGGAGAGGTGTCTTCCGTGCGTGCAGAGGTGGGATGGCAATTGACGGTGCCCAAGGGCTATGGCATCTACCATGGCGACTGGGAAATTGTATGAAATTCTCCATTTACCCTCTGGTTATGACTAACATAGCCATTGAAAATCACAATTTTTAATATAGGTAAACCATCTATAAATGGGCCATTTTCCATGGCTATGTTAAATAACCAGATGGAATATCCATTTAGAGATGATTTATACCTGAAAAAATGGTGATTTTTCATAGTTATTATGTTGGTTTAGTGGAGGGTAAGATGTTACCAGTGGAAAGACCATTAGGATTCCACATTGTTTCGGATTTTTTTTGGATGACTAGTATGATGCTATAATTAATTCATCTAATAGTCCTTTTCTTACTCTTGGGGCTGGTTGTTAGGGTTCCTTTTTTTCTTGGATGATACGGGATAATTACAACCCAGTATCTTCTTGGTTTCAGATATGTAGGCCGCAAATGGATATGATAAACAGGTTCAAGGTTTCAAACAAAACTGGGAACAAAATGCTAGGTTGAATGGATTTCGGGCACAGAATTGATTCATTTTTTCATTCCAAGGGGACTTCCTGGTCCTTCCTGGTCTTGATAGATCATTAATCTTAGATTGAGGATGAGCCCGTTGTAGAGTCACTGTGGCTTGGGGTACCTGGTTGTGTCGCAGCTGTGGAGGCTGACAGGCACCCCTCTTGGGATAGCCAAAGCCCATTGAAAAAACATGAAAGAAGGCAGCACATGGCACCACAGCTAAACCGCAGCTGTGACTGGCGGTTGAAAGATACATTTTGACCGGCTCACTTCTCCAGCTAATCTTCCCCTAACGCCATGGCTGACAGCAAGGAGCTGGTTGCACAAGGCGGGTTTACGGTGGCAGCAGCAGGAACTTAGAAGTGTGGAACATGGAACTTGAGGCTTCTCCAAAGAGGTAAGGTAGACGGATTGGAACAGAACGCCTTGCTAGCGGCGAATCAACGTTTTGAAGCCACCCAGCTGGCCATTTCTTTTTTTTAAGCATGCCACCAGGATGAGTTACACCTGTTCCACCTTGGCCTGTCGAGAAACCTATGCCATCAATCGCTGGCCATTAGGTTTTTTGGAAAAGGAAAGCAAGTGGCTGTGCCGCTGGAACAAGCGATGGGTGAGGCTCTACGTCCTGGACTCAGATCTGACAGTCGCAACCGAAATTAGTTGACCACTGGTGGGAATTGTATTGGGAAAACTATCCCAAAATGGCCGATCTGTATACTTAGTGAATTAATTAATTAATTAATATGTGACTTTGCCAGATAGCGGGGTTTCATGTTCATCTACTTTTGTCGACTCGCTGAAGATCATCCTCATTACATATGAGCTGAGAGTTTCTAGCGTGATGGTTGGGGTGCACAACCCCCAACTCATGTACTGATGAAATGAACAACATTTGATTGGTTGTGGAGAGTGGCTTCGTCCGCAATAAGAATCATAAAAAAAGTAATCTGTAATAATCATTGATACTCAGGTGATATGAAGAAATGCGTCGTCTTATGATGATAACCAACCATCACATATCATGATAATCATAGGATTAATTATAACAATCTGATGTGATAGACTATTCCAACAATCATCACCTCCCTTTAACCCTGGAATATTTGGGGGGTTAGGCAAGAATTTTCTGAACAATATTTTACCTGATCACATGGAAAAAAAAAACACCCCCTACGCGTTTTTCGGCTTCCAAAAAGAGGCTAGAAAAATATCCCTCCGGATGCCAGATTCTAGCCTCGATATGACAATTGGACACACATAATTGGTTACACAATGTTACACATAGATCAAAAAGAAAATCGCATACGACCTCTGTGAACTCCTGCCCCTGGTCTTTGAAAACTCAAAAAAATCACAAGCAAAGCTTGGGGAGAAAAAGAACATAGCCCGACCTGACCACATCCCGCACTTTGCTGCGGATAAACGACCCAACAGTGCCCGCTGATGCATCAATGACAGTGCTGAGATTTTCCCATTACCGCATATATATTGCTAGATTTTTTGTTTGCTGAAAGATTTCTAGATATTTCTAGGTATGGGGTAGGGGTTAACTTTTCCCTTCAAATCCTTCAAATGGAATGGTGATAGTTGATTTACCCATCAAACATGGTGTTTTTTCCATCGTTTTTTCTATGTTTTACCAGAGAGTACCACCTTCCCCCCCCGCAGGGGTGGTACCGCTGAGGGCAACGGAAAGCTGCAAACCTTCACCCAGGAGCCCAAGGAGGTGCTGTTGGAGATCCCGTTTATTTCACCATGCAACGTTTAAACAATGGTGAAAGAACCATAAAATAACCAGGGAAATAACCATAGTAGGTGAAATCATGTGAAATCTAACCATAGTTATCTACTTCAAGTATGTTCAACTTGAATGATTTGTCTCTTCCCCTAAGCATAGTTAAATCCCATATTTTCCCAGCAAAAAAGGTGCAGTTGGGGTTTTCTGAATGGATACTGTAGGGCTTAAAATCGGGATTTTAAGATCCATAAGTTGGGATGTGTGGCTTCCTACATGTTCCTGGTGAAATATCGCGCACTTATTGATGGAACTACACACCAAGTATGAACCTGGCCAGAAAAATGAATAGGAGCCCCATCAGAGAAATCCACAATCTGATGATTCTGAGGCTCCAAATGTTGAGGGTTTGCTTCCAGGGCTGGCTTCAGGTACCTGTGGTTGCCTCCGGCTCATTCTTGTCCGCAACATTCTCAGAGGTTGCGCGCATGACGCTGGAGGCTGGACCAGGGATGAGCAAAGATATGCATGATACGGCCGTCTTTGATCACGAATGTGTGGCAAAGTCAATTAGGGAGGGATTAAAGTTAGAATCATTTAAAATCTATGAGCAGTCCATGAAATGTCGTATCATAGCATATTTGAACGTACTTTGGGTGGACGAACATCTGTTCTCATACCTCGGATTTTGCCATTTGTGGCATTGAGATGAAACGTCTTTTCCTCCTATTTTGGTGAATTTCATCCCTACTTCACACTCTTGAAGAGTTTGACCTATAAGAAAAACATGTTTTTAGTGATTGTTAAAAAATAAAACCACATTTAGTAAATAAAACCTCAATTTCCCTCATATTTAGCGATGTTTTTTTTTCCCTCTCATTCATTTAGAAACCACCATGCTGATGCCGTTTAAAAACGACGATCAACTCCCCTGGCAGATCCGCGTCAGGTGGATATCGTAGGTGCTGGGATTGTGGGTCACGACCCCTCGTGCTTGGCCTTTACCTGGCGTGCCGGGCCCAAGTATCGCCTGGTGCCATGGCCCGGGCATGGTGCGTTTGGGTATGGGAAATGGACCTTAATGAATGGATGACATTGGGAGACATTGGGATTTATAGCCATTTAACTGGGACATTTATATATATTTATGGGATCTATGGTATAGTGGGGATTTTTATGGAACACATTGAGGAGGATGTGGATTTCAGTAGGAAAAAAATAACGATGATGTGGATTTTAAGTAGGAAACATAATGAAAAAGGGGATTCATAGCAATACAATTGGCATGGGAATGAATGGGGATATATTGGCCGCTAGCCGCGGCCAACAAAGTTGTGGGGATATAAAACCAACGTTTTTCTGGTACTTTGACTGAACGGTGTGTATGTATATATATACATTTCTGTATATATACATATATACCATTACGCATATATATATATAATTACCCTCTGGTGAACTAACATAGCAATGGAAAATGGCTATTTATAGTGGATTTTCCCATTAAGAATGGTGATTTTCCATTGCTATGTTAGTTCACCAGAGGGTATATGGCATGAGTGTATAATGGATAACACGGATGATGATGCGGAGTTAATTAGGAACCATCTGATTTGTAGTCTTAACTGATGATATTTATGTGGTATAATGGGATATAATATGATCTAATGGCATACACGTGGGGATGTACCAAAGCCGCTGCTGGAAATGAGCATTCGTTTGCCAGCCAAAATTTTGGTATGCAAGATCCGGCATGATCATAAACATATTTACTACCCCACCAAAAGATACCCTCTGGTGATTTAGCACAGCCATGGTTTTTCGATGGCCCATAGAAATAGATGGTTTACCTATTAAAAATGGTGATTTTCTATGGCTATGTTAAATAACCAGATGGTATTTTTTGAATTACTATAGTTTATCAGGATTTCAATTGTCTATATATTTCTAGGGGTGATTCATAGCTACCCAAAATAGATAGACATTCTGAAAGCCTGAAACATATGGGGAGAAACATGATTTGTATAGTCTATAGTTGACATCCCGGAAAAACTGAAACTATCTTTGTTAGAGACCCCTTTAGTGTAGATGCATGACCCGCACTCTCTTTCGGATATGTATATACCCGGACACACACACAGGAATCTATATGTATGCAACGCACTCAGTAGCGACTCGTCATTTTGAAGTGGGATCAACACAAGGATTGTGCTACATTTTTCAGATGTACCTTTCAGCCCTCCATGAACTGTTCGCAGGAAAAAAAATATGTGATTTGGCCAAAATTGGTACCGTGGTGCCAAGCTAGTTGTTCGAGTTTCGAACTACAGAAATTCATAGAAATTCAATATCTAACCCATCCTAATATATCCTAACCCATCCTGACCCCAACCATTTTTTTTTGTTTTTGCCCGGCCTTTTAAGCCCGCGCTGCGGGTTTCCCTGGGAAGCTGCTGTCCCCAAGGAGATACTGACGCAGACGGAACGCGTCCATCTAGGGACGAACGATTTACAGCTGTGCCAAGTCTGGTTTTCCAAACTTGGCGTGGCTTGACTGTCGAGAAAGGATGAGAAAGGTAAAAAGGAAAATCACAGAAAATGGATGTGTTTTTGAGATGGTGTTGGTGGTGGTGGTTGGTTGGTTGTTTTGTTTTTTTGTTTGTTTGGTTGTTTGCTTGCTTGCTTGTTTGTTTGTTTGTTGTTGTTGGTTGTTGTTGTTGTTGTTGTTGCTGCTGCTGCTGTTGTTGTTGTTGCTGCTGCTGCTGTTGTTGTTGTTGTTGTTTGCCGGGGAGGTTGGCAGAGCAACATGCAAATCTATACCATTCATGGATGCTGCAACATGTTTGGAACAATTTCAGAGGAAGGGTGGACCAGCGCGAAGAATTCACTTCATTTGACGGAGTTGTTTATCAGGGCGGGGGATTAGCAGGATTCAGAGATGTTCAAGCCATTTTGACACTGACACAGTTGTGGGTTGTGGGTGTTAGACACTTGCTGAAAGATCTAGGAGAGAGAATGGAGTTTGGAAGGGGCCTTGTGGAGTGACCCCCCGAGGCATGTCCCCACCCCGCAGCACCCATTGTTGAGGCTGTTGCACTTGCAGTGAGTCGCTCCGTGACGCCCGTGAACTCCCCGGCCAACTCAGCTCTTGCGCTGTCGCCGGTGGTGCAGCCATACATTGACAGTCCCCAATCCAGCCAAAGTTTGGATGAGGAGCCCGTGGGGGTGCCAACACCTGCGGCGCCAGGCGTCTCAGGAACCTGTGGCTCCGGATCTGTTTGGGACTCCGAACCATCTGAGGTCACAGGGGTCATCATGGACTCTTCATCCACTTCTTCCATGGATGATTTGGGGCTATCCTCCACTGAGACACCTGAGAGCCCACATGAAGAGAGCGCGCCGAAGGGAAAAGGAAAGGCCAAGGGGAAAGCTGGCCCACCTCCATTGAAAGGGAAAGGCAAGGGTACAGGCACTGCAGGCAGTGCTGCTTCACCCTCCGAAGTCCCACCTCAGCCACCAGCTGCTCCAGCTGCTCCAGCGAAGGGCGCGAAGGGCGCGAAGGGCGCGAAGGGCAAGGGAAAAGGCCCTCCTCCGCCGCCACGGGCGCCACCCAAGGGCAAAGGGAAGGAGGCACCGGTGGGGAAAAGGCCCAGTTTTCGGGTCAGCTTGAGTGGGTTGAAGCACCACGCGGCCGCTTTTCATGACCTCTCCTTTACGGATGTGAAGTTGAAGGAGGAGGAATGGACGCAGCTGCATTCCCTCTTCCACAAGGAGGAGGGGAGGGTCAGTGGCTTTCACATCCATTTGTTTCGTTTTGGGCTGGTGAAAGACTCTAGAGATGATGTCTCCAAGGACTAGTCGTCTTTTGAGACGTTTTGAGGCTTAATTGCCAGGCCCAACACCCCACTGATCACATCCAGGAGGTCAAGAAAGCTAGAGGAAGGCGGATCGGAGAGACCATTGTCTTCTCAGGTCAAGATTTCCAAGCCTGGGGTTCCTTGGCTGAAGCTGGGGAAATGATTGGCGGGCCATGGTTGGCCATTGAAAGTTGCCCCTCAACTGCAACGTGTTCCTTACAATCACAGGCCCTTAGGTAGGCTCTAAATTTTGAATGTGTTGCTGCTTTGGTGCCCAGCGCTCTTTTATCATGATCAGCAGCTATATCCCATTACTCCGAGGCATCTTCATGAAGAAGAAGGAGAGCGGCCGCGCATGATGGGACCCTCATCCCAGAGTCACCATAGTGATTTTTTAATGGTCCCAGTGCTTCGGCTTTGAAGATGTTGCTGTTGTTTTGCTTATGATGCCTCTGTTGGAAGCTGGTGTGCCCTGCAATGCCTGCAATTCAATAGAATTCAAAGCTTGGATGAGTCAATAGCCGGAGTGATCAACATGGAACCCTTCAATTAAACAACCCATTGTCTTTGTTGGATGTCCCTCCTGTTGTTAGTTCATATGTCATTTCCTCGTTATTCTTGGACAAAATCCCTATTGTTGCTTGCTATCCCCAGTTTGTTTGGCTAACACTAACGCCCAAAAATAATTCGTCTTCGCTGAACATCTGACTCTTCAATCAAGCTTGAATGATCTCAAGATATCTCAAGTCCTTATTTTTTGTGGCAAATGTAACCATGTTTGATCATGTTTGTAGATATGGCCATCCAAATTCCTAGCTTTGATCCCTCGGATTTTTAACCCTATGATTGTTACTGTTACCTGTAGGTGTTACATGATATTACCTCTGGTAAACTAACATAACTATGGAAAACCACCATTTTTAATGGTAAATCCACTAGACTATAAATTGTTATTTTCCATCGCTTTGTTAAATTACCAGAGGGCAGGTTTCTTAAAATGGACCCCCCAAAAGCCACGAGTTTCAATCTCAATAGTTCCTCAAATTCATGATCCATGACTTGGATTTGGATTACCCCCATGACCTAGGAAACCTCATGAAACCTCCAATTCATAGCTATGGTTCTAATCCTTTCCCCCCCTAATATGAAACACCCCCTTAGAAACCATGGTTTAGTAGGGGATGCCCACATTCCATTGAGACCATGCACTTGGGGTGTTTAATATTAGGGTGATGGGATGGTATATGAATATTATGAACGGTTAAATTGTTGTGGATGCAGCAGATGCACATCTGGTTGGTGGTTTCAAACATGAATTTTATGTTCCATTTCATATATGGGATGTCATCCGAAACCCATTGACTTTCACTCCCTCCATCATTTTTCAGAGGGCTTGAATGGAGGAAACCACCAACCAGACATCCAATTTGCACTCATATTTTTCAGAGGGGTTGAATTTGAAACCACATAAACCACCAACCAGACATCCTTTGGTCCTGGAGGAGATGCAAATGGACTTGCAACCATTCCAATTAGAGCGTGCCTTGCTGACCTTGACGCCTTCCATCGGCCAACTGTCTCCTGAGGCCCCGGTGCTGGGGGTTGCGATAGGTTGCGATGGCCACCAGTTGTAACTGGCAAACCTTAAGGATGGGTATAGGTTTAGTAATGTTTAGTAGTTTAGTATACTTTAGTAACTTTAGTATATATACTTCCGTATGCTAAAGTAGACGAGCATCCTAGTAGACTTCAGTATACTTCAATCTTTTTGCGAAACAGATGGATGAGGGGTACTGCCTAAGCAGCTATTTTTTGCACGGTAGCTACGATGGGGATTGTGTAGACATGTCTGCGCCACCAAAAGCTGTTGTCTGAGGAGGGGGAGCCAAATCAGGGAAGGGAAGATAAGGACTCTGCCCATTCTGCAGTTGCACCATTTTAACACTATATTAACTTTTTTATCCGTTTCATGAACTTGACAAGGCACACTCTGGACAACCGCGACTGCAGGTAAACGGACATTTTAGATACTGCAGGGTTCTTATTATTGACATCTTATATTGTTTTATGACACACACACAGAGACAACACATAATATCATATAATCAAAATTAATTAATGCAATTATATACACATATATATAGTCATATAAACATATATGATATATATATATGATATATATATATATATATATTGTATGCGTGTGTGATGAAATGTGGTAAAAACCCAATACAAAAAATAATCCATCCCAACTGTAACCAGTCGCACTTGGAGGATTTGGAGATGATGCTGAACCACACCGAGGCTCTGAAGCTGCTCTTGGTGTCTTGGTGGCGTACCGGTCGGTGACTTCTTGGTGACCCATCCCTGGTGTTATGGCCATTTATGGCCCACAGAAGTCGAGTATTCTATATATATATATATTCTGGTTGGTGGTTTGGAATATGAATTTTATTTTTCCATATAGATGGGAATGTCATCATTCCAACTGACTTTCATATTTTTCAGAGGGGTAGGCTCAACCACCAACCATCACCAACCAGTATAAATATATACCATCTGGCTATTTAACATAGCCATGGGAAATCACAATTTTTAATAGGTAAACCATCTATAAATGGGCCATCTATACCATGGCTATGTTAGTCATAACCAGAGGGTAGACGTCTTATGATGTCTTGAATCCTCTTCTTTACGGAGCCCGATCCACTCATGGATTCCATGTGGCTTAAGACAAATGAAGAAACGCGATCCTGCCATTTCTGCTGCTACGAAATCATTCTCCAATGAAGTATTTCGTAGATATGCGTGGTATTTGGGCGTGCCTCATTTTCGGACATACCAAAAATAGTAAATTGTATATATTTCATATACCATTGTCATACATCAATTATTATCCATGATCATCCATTATCCTCCCTTATCATCAATTACACCATTTTTTCTGTACCACTATCTATACCATGTCACCAATGTTCTATTATTATCCATATGAACCGTGGCAGAATCAGCAACGATGGTTCATTCCAAACCGGGCAAGGAGAGCGAGCACAAGGACAAACCCGATTTACGCGAGCTCGAGTCCAAACTGTTGAGAGTGGCAGCAGTGCCACGCCTACCAGCACGCCTGAGGCATCCAGGGATTCCAGGGTCTGAGAGAGCTGCAGGGTGAGGCAAAGATCAAGACATTGAGCTTCAACATGCTTCATTGTTCATGTCATGTGATTTTCAGATTTTGGGCATTTTTATTTTTGGGCAAATTCCTGATTTTATTGCACTGAATGACATCAATGACCAATTTCAATCGACATTGTGGGGCCTTCGAAACCCAGCGTTTCAACAGGGGGTTGATCCCTGTTGACCGCCACGGCAGCATCGGTGCATCCACGCCAGAATCTATCTAGTCGAATTGCATATATTATATACACATAATATAAATGAATGAATAAATAGATACATACATAAATAAATAAATGATAAATTTGTTTAAATATATAAGTAATAAGATATGTATGTATGTATATATATATATATACAAATCCACATGTATAGTACATGTATGATATGTCATATCTCTTTATATCTTTTATCTTCGCCAGCGCCTACAGATCCAGGGTGATGCTGACCATGGGCACCTGGCGCGACACCGCGGCGCTGGTGTCGCAGAACGCGGTCTACATCCGTCGCGCCTGCGAGGAGTTCCGCAAGTCGGACGCCTTGAGGTGCGCCTTGGGATGGGAGCGATGGGATAATCGGGGTGGAACCATGGAGTTATGGGGTGGTTCATATTGGTTAATGATGGTTCATGGGTCATGGATATATATATATATACCATATGGTGATTATAAACATTGCAACTATGGTCAAAACTGGGATTTTTATATGGTGATTATAAACCATTACAACTAGATTTACATGTCTGGTTGGTGGTTTCAAACATTGTTTATTTTCCATAATATATGGGATTTCCATCCTTCCCATTAACGAATATTTTTCAAGATTGTTAAAACCACCAACCAGTCAATGATGGTTCATGGATCATGGATATTCTGGATATTACTTTGGATTTTCTTCACATAGACCCTGAATATATACCATTTTGAGTGGAAAGTAATCTTCCAAGCCCTATTTGCCAGGGTCTATGTTAATTTGCTGGAGGGTAATGGTTATAATATGGTTGTTGAGTGATGATTACAATGGATATTCATGGTTAATATTGATGGCTATTAATAGTAAATAATTAATGGTTGTTTGTGGATATAACCACGGTATAATCATCGCATAACCTTGGTTATAACACTCAAAGTTGGAATAAAGCCCCCCCATAAGTCGATAAGTACCTATCCACTTACCTGTAACTGGAACTGCGCCCACCAGCACAGATGTCCTTTTCCCACTGGCTGGTTAATTGACAGAGGAACCGCCCTCCAACACCCACAATAGGTAAAAGATGAGCAATGGTATACCAATGCCCATGGAAAACCTTGGATGCATACCAGGTAGTACTTCACAGTTTTGTGCGACACATGGGGATACATTAACCAGCCACTTTGATTGGCGTGTCTTAAGCAATGTATCTAAGATTGAGAATGGTTGCAGCTATGGCAGTGTAAACAAAGCAGTTTTTTGTGGAGGAACGGAGGGTGTATACACAGCGTCCCTCCGTGACAAAACCACACCTGAAAGAGCTGCGCAATCCATCCATCGTTTCTGTTGGGTCTATCCGACTACGCGGGATGACCGGGATGGCCCCCTGTTCTCCCGAGCCCTGGAATCATGGTTTATTTTAGGGAAATCATTCCCAAATAGCCCAACATTTCAGATTAGTGAATTATTATAATTTACCCACACATAACACATATATATATTATGGATCTTATAAATTATATGTAGGTCTGTGTGTACAATACTGGCTTGAGTATGCTTGAGTCAATTACCGGGTCAATGGGATCATGTATGGAATAGCTGGCCGAAATGTAGCCCGTACAGTACCGCTGGTGGATTATACCGTACCCGATACTTAGTCCAGGCTGAGATCTAGAAGCTCCAGCCCCTGAGGTGCAGGTCTACTTTTTGGAATTTTTGAGTAAATGTGAAGGTTGGAACCTAGACTTTATCAGAACACTTGCCGGATTTTATCCTGACCCTATTCGTGAAATAATTTCAGCGGGCTTCGACCCCCCCAGGTCCCCGATTCCGGGCACTCGATTCCAAAAAGGACCCAAGCGGGGTCAGACTCTGATGTCAATGAGTCAATGCCACTTCTTAAAAAAAGAATCGCTAGAAGCCAGATCATGATCTTCCAGATTCTTGGGACGGACGAAGATGGGTAGGAACATGCGGAAAACCGCCGGCCAGATGTACTGAAGTTGTTTGTATCCCGCCAAAACTGGGTAGATGTCGAAGCGATTGCTTCCTCCGTTGAGATTCTGCAATGATTAAATTGACAAAGTTATTTTTTGCTGCCCTGTTTTTGTTGGGGGGACACCCCACATTTCGCTTCTAATTGTGCTGCTGGGCAAGTGGGGTGTGACAAACTAACTTCATTTGTGTTCCTATCTTCAAAGACGGTGCTTTTTAAAGCATGATTCATCGCATGAAAGCATGAAAAAAGGTCACAGTAGAGAAAAACCCTATGTGTCATTGGGAATTTACCCAGTCAATTATTGTCCATATCTCACTAACAGTATAATAAACTTCCGTATTTTCCAATCACACTGGGCCTCACATCTACCCAGAAGATCTCTGAATCTTCCAATGTGCTCGCCGCCGTGCCGCCACTCCAGGCACTTGATGGCTCTCACAGCCATCATTTACAACCGCGTGATGTGGGGCGAGGAGCTTGATGATTCCAGTGGCAACTTGGTGTAGGGAAGTTCGTTTGGGTAGAACAATGTCGTGTTTACCATCCCCCAGTCATCACCATCTTTATGGGAGAGTGTAACGCCACCAGGTCCCCCAAAATACGTGATTTTTAGTTTTTTTTCCCGAATGCGTAGCGAAGGGTTCCCGTTTATAGTTGGGGGTCTGGGGGTTGGACCTTTGTTCGCCGCCAGTTGGTCGGCGCGTCGTTTTTCGCGTCGTTTTTCGCGTCGTTTTCGCGTCGTTTTCGCGTCGTTTTTCGCGTCGTTTTCGCGTCGTTTTCGCGTCGTTTTTCGCGTCGTTAATTCGGTGTCTATAGGGGAAGCTGCAAAACCTCGTGTCTTTTGCTGCGTCGATGTCGCAGTGTCTATAGGGGAAGCTGCAAAACCTCGTGTTTTTTGCTACGTAGATGTCGCAGTGTCTATAAGGGAAGCTGCAAAACCTCGTGTGTTTTGCTACGTAGATGTCGCAGTGTCTATAGGGGAAGCTGCAAAACCTCGTGTCTTTTGCTGCGTCGATGTCGCAGTGTCTATAGGGGAAGCTGCAAAACCTCGTGTTTTTTGCTACGTAGATGTCGCAGTGTCTATAGGGGAAGCTGCAAAACCTCGTGTGTTTTGCTACGTAGATGTCGCAGTGTCTATAGGGGAAGCTGCAAAACCTCGTATTTTTTGCTACGTAGATGTCGCAATGTCTGAAGCTCAAACCTCGTGTTTTTTGCTACGTAGATGTCGCAGTGTCTATAGGGGAAGCTGCAAAACCTCGTGTCTTTTGCTACGTAGATGCCGGCGCAGTGTCTATAGGGGAAGCTGCAAAACATCGTGTTTTTTTGCTACGTAGATGTCGCAGTGTCTATAGGAGAAGCTGCAAAACCTCGTGTCTTTTGTTGCGTCGATGTCGCAGTGTCTATAGGGGAAGCTGCAACACCTCGTGCTTTTTGGTACGTGGATGTCGCAGTGTCTATAGGGGAAGCTGCAAAACCTCGTGTTTTTTGCTACGTAGATGTCGCAGTGTCTGAAGCTGCAAAACCTCGTGTTTTTTGCTACGTAGATGTTGCAGTGTCTATAGAAGAAGCTGCAAAACCGTAGATGTCGCAGTGTCTATAGCTCGCCGATGTTAATTAGGAGTGAAGGAGTGGGTTTGAGGCTGAAAAATCGAAGGGAAAGAGGAAAAAACAAAAAACAAAGAACAACAATGCATTTTGTTTCCGACTATGTTGTCTAAAATTGTATGTTTAGGAGGCGGGGCAGGGCGGTCAATAAATTCAGAGACTAGTGCTTGCCCCATGTGTGCACATGATCAGACATGTATAACTTCTTGGAATATTTTTTGTGAGCGGCTGCACCCTCACAATCACAGTTTTGAAGCTATGTAAAACCATTGGTTTGGCATCCCATGTCTTGCTGTGACACAGAAATGAAGCACACTATCTGTCTGTGTTTTTTTACAAGGAATACTGTGATATTACCACACGATTTGCATAGTTTTTTTAACAAGTTTTGAAGCCAAAACTGTGGAAATACCACACCTTTTGCACAATTTCGAAGCCAAAACTGTGGTATTACCACGCTTTTTACAGAGTTTCAAAGCCAAAGTTGTGGTATCTCCACCTTTTTTTTCCATTTCCACACAGTTTGAAGACAAAACTGTGATATGTCTTCATTTCTTGCATACTTGTGAAGCCACAAGTTGATATTACCACACGCTTTGCACAGTCTGAAACCTGAAACTGCGATATGACCACATGTTTTGAATAGTTTTCGAGCCAAAAGTGTGATATTACCACCAGTTTTTCATAGTTAGTTTGGAACCTATGATGTTTCTGCATCTTTTGCGTAGTTTTGGAAGCAAAACTGTGAAATTACCACATGTTTTGACATTTTTGTTCAATTTTACTTAGGGTGGACCACCATTTTATCATGAATATGCTGTTTTTCCTTCAGTTCTTACACATTTTTGACCCCAATTTACCGACCACCCCTTCGGTAAATTGGAAATTTGCTGTGGTAAGTTGGCTTTTGGGCAGCCATTTACATCTCAAATATGGCACAAGCCACGCGGAAAAGAAAAAAACATGGCTTTCATCCCAGTGCTGCACCAACCAAAGGCAAAAGGCCTGGCTGTACCCGCAAGAAAGTGACAAGCGTTGAGCAAAAGAAATGTGTACCACGTGCGAAATCCAAGGCTCCAGGACGTGGCTGCACCCGTTCAAAGCCATGGAACAAAGGCCTGCACCAAACCAAGACATGCAAGCAACATGTGTTCATACCGAGAGATCAGATCGCATTGTTTCTAGCAGTTGCATTGTATTGGCCAAGTCCCAAATACGCTTGTGTCCTGTGGTTAACTTTGGTGACCAGCAGACGTATCAGCGAGACACTGTTGCTGCGCGGAACAGACATGAGTGCAAGGAGGAGAAGAGCACGACGCAGGACACATCTTGTTCCAGCGGCGGCCGCAGGATGACAGTCTTGGAGGCTAGTCTTGGAGGCTCAGGCAAACTGGGCGGAGAAAAAGTGGTAGCAAGACTCTCAAAGGATGCCATTGCTGGGATCCAACAATTGTGTTCTGATGGTTTGGAGCATGAGCTGCGTCCAATACTAGAACCCTTCAAGGTGGCTGTACCCCTTTTTTTTGCACATGAAACCGTTGAACAAATCAACTTGACACAGATTCAGAGAACTTTGTTTTTTGCCACTGCGTCCAAGAAACAGGGATGCAGGCCAAGTATGTCAAGGCAAAGTGTTTCGGAGGCTCTCAAGGTGATCAGGAAAGTGATGTTTCGAACTACTGGCAACCGCCGTACAACCCCACAAGTATATTTCAAGGCAGTAGGGTTACAGTGCACGGAGCTACCCGGCACACGAGCGCTAGCCTCTTGGTTTCGAACAAACATTCTGATGAGAAAGGGCCTTCCGAACATGTGATTTTAGAAATTCAACATCGCTCCGATGCAAGAGTGCTCTGGAAACATTATTTACCACGCTGAAGAAGAACAAGTGGAAGCTGCTTTAGAATATCGCGCTGCGCCAAGTTTGTTTACAAAAGGCCTTCCAGAGGCGCTTCCAACTGAAGCAGCAGTGCCTAAGAATTGGTGCGCAAGGAGTGCTTAGTTTTACATGAAGACGGCCTGCCATGTTCTCCAAAATGCAGGCTTTGGGTTGCTCTTTGATTATCCATTGCAAACCGTACAAAGGAACTACTCCTCTTGGATCAAGGCCTCCGCGTTTTCGACCCAACGCACTGAAGGATGGACAAGGGTAACCAGCAACGTATAAATCTATGTTGCGAGGTTTGGAGGTGGAGCCACTCAAAACCAAACTCCATTCAGTCATGTCCATCTCCAAAGTTCCAACTTCGTGCTTCAACAGATACACCGATACAATTTTTGCTTGTCTTCGTCAGTTTCTGACCAGCACACACACTTTCCACTCTTGGCAGCAAACATCAGCAAACCTAACAAGGCCAGAGCAATGATTTCCGAACCCAGACCTGCGCAATCACTGGCCACTCTGATGGGCCCAGTGTCCATTGTTTTTTTCACAAGCTCAGCGGCATCAGCCAAAGAGCGCACTTGACCCATCATTTTTTCAAAAGTTTCCTTGGTGATAACTGGTTTCTTTCTTGGCTTGCCTGGTGGACCTTTATCTTTTTGCACATTGAAGCTTTTTATTTTTCTTCTTGTCAAGGACTTCATCCAGCACGACTCCACCTCATGCCATGGCTTCCTAACTCACGGTACTTTGATTGCAGGTCAATAATATGTGTTGTGTCTCACAATACTTACGACTATCAGGAAAGAATCTGCTGCTGTTACTATTAGCTTTTCCACATCTTGCCCGAGACCCCGGCTTGAACCTCACAGGCCAGGTCAAAGGCTGAGCTGCGGCAGCGGCGTGTGTGTAAGGACCCCGGGCAAACCCGGGGTCCTTACACGCAGCCTGGCTGGTCTGGCTGTGTGTAAGGACCCCGGGCACGCAGCGTTGAATGCACCCCGGGGTCCTTACACGCAAGCGTTGTAGCGGCGCCGGGGTCCTTACACGCAGTCTGGCTGGTCTGGCTGTGTGTAAGGACCCCGGTTTCCCCCGGGGTCCTTACACACAGCCCGCTAACGCAACCCCCGGGGTCCTTACGCGCAATCTGGCTGGTCTGGCTGTGCGTAAGCAACTTTAACGTCGCCCACTCCTAATTAACGTCGCCCCAATTAACGTCGCACACTCCTGTTCTACCAGTTAGGAGGCTTGCAGGCCAACCAAAGAAACAGTCATGCTTGAGCACTTTGAGTTGGCATGACAAGCACAGCGCGCTGACGACTTTTTCCCCAAGTACTGTCCCTCAACCGTCCCCAAGGCCGAAGGTTTCTGGTCATGAAAATGATGGTGCTGACGTCTTTGGACAACACACAATTCATGAAAACCCCACAACAAGAATGAGGTATAAGCCATCATTCCTCACACAACCTGCTCTAAGATACATTGAGTTGAACCATCCTTGTAAAACTAAGCACTCCTTGCGCACTGCTTCTCATCTCGGTGACTAGACAACAACATGTCCAATAATTCTCTGTCAGTTTTGACAGTTCGTCCTTTTTTTTGAAAGTGTTCTTCTCTGATTCCAGACACAGCACCATGTGCGCCGATGTCAGTGCAGAAGTTTCCCATGAGTTTTTGCCTCTGTTGCAGTGATCCTGTAAAAAAAATGTGCACGTTGTTTTTCTTCTCACACAGCTCTGGAGAGAAGTGTATTTTCATCTTTTTCTTGACAGCAGGCTTGCGAAATCCAATGGAAAAAACAGCCGACTAAGCTTCGAGCAAGCCTTCGTTCATGACCACACCTCCTTTCAGAACAGCATGCCTTGCGCACTCCTTGCGCACCAATTCTTAGGCACTGCTGCTTCAGTTGGAAGCGCCTCTGGAAGGCCTTTTGTAAACAAACTTGGCGCAGCGCGATATTCTAAAGCAGCTTCCACTTGTTCTTCTTCAGCGTGGTAAATAATGT